ATACTTTATTAGTGATAATTTGTGTGATTTTAATTTACCAAAAGATACATCGTTCAATTACGATCCTTCTAGCTTTTATAGATTTTAATTTGATTAATTAAGTCATCTATAATCACTTACATAAGAATTGTCAAGCAGAACTTTATTTCTGCCCGATTCACGTTCGCCAAGTGCTGACATCATCCTGACGCCCACACCCTTATTTTCTTTTTTCATGAATTTTAAATATATTTCTTTTTCATTTCCTAGTATAAAATTCATAGAAAATTATATTCATTGAGAAAATTTCTGAATAATTACCAAATATTATATTACATCCCTGTGATCGACTTGAAAAATTATTGCTATTTTTTAGAAGTTTTATTGAATTATAATTGATATATTTGTTCATAAATACTTCTAAATATCCAAAAAATCATATTTTCTTGTTTTATAAATTTTAAATTTGCGTGATTTACTATACAACGACTGAGTCACATCAAGCATCACCACAAGAGATCAAGAACAAGATTGGAAAAGTCTCTAAGAATCTAAATCAAGATCACCATGACATTTCCTCATTAACCCAAAGTTCATTTTGCTCACATATACTCATAATGATCTCATTTGCCAAAATTTATAATGAGCTTTCCTATATAACCCTAATTCAAACTTGGGCACAAGAACATGGAAAGATAACTTCACCAATTCCTTTCAAATCAAGATGCATGAACTTGTCCCTAACTAGTAGACTCTGATCAAATTAAGGGAGGTTAGAGCATGCCTTCAAAACCTCAAGATGGCACCCTAGTGGATGAAATTTACTTCCAACATAGAGAGGTTCTAGAGGAGGATGCAGTAGCTTAAGCATGTAAGAGGTAGAAGAAAGGAAGAACTGAATCAAGGATGGGCTCAAGGAGTGGTTAATTTCCTCTACATCTAAGAGTTGATGTTATTGTTCCTTTTTGCAACTTTTGTAGATTAAAGGCATATGTGGTGTTATCATCTAGTTAACTCATACATTGTGCTTGAACTCAAGTCAACCACTAGAATGACCGAGAAAGGGTTCTATTGTTCTCATATTGATTGATTTTGATGGGAACAAGTATGCCTAATATATCCATCAATATAATGTTGGCAAAAGTTAAAGGAAAATCATCTTCACAACTTTCTTTACAAAAAAGCTTTCATTCATGAATCAACACCCCAAAGCACTTCATTATGATAGTGAAAAGATGCCAATATAACACCTACAAAGTATAGTATCAAACGTAATATAGAGAATTGTTCAACTTACAAATCCATTCAAATAAGACATCCACTTAAAAGAGGAAATCAAATCAAGTAATCAAAAGTTGTAGGATGCTTTTTGCTTCAACATGACATCAATGTGGATGAAATTTTCCACTAGCAAATGATGCCTCTTCAAGAAAGGAAGGTGATCTCCACCTTTAACTTAAGTGTTTCTAGATTTCCTAAGAGCAATGATTCTTCATAAAAATCATCCCACACTCCCAAAAAATTAGGAATCAGTCAATTGAAATTTGATTGATAGGCTTAGAGAATTTGTGGTAGGTTCTTGAATTTATTGGTGCTAATAAAACTAACAAAGAGAAAGAAGACAAAGATAATTATAAAGAGAATTTGACACGAATATTTAATGATCAAAGGGTTATGATATGAGTTCATATTTATTTGGCAAAACAATCATATCTCTTGTGAAATTCATGATCATGCTTTAAGACATAGAAATGAGAGAGGGTGTGTGTGAGAGAGAGAGAGAGGGGGGGCGAAACCTTTCCAAAAGCATAAGAATAAACATGAATTTCTCTCACAATTGACAAAAAGGAAAGTGGATCATTGGGAATAGTATGAGACTAAACAAAAACAATCCTATGATAGATAGAATTAGATAGAAGAATGCAATCAATTTGAAATGAGAACATGAGACAAAAAGCAAACCTATTAGGGCATGATCTTTGGGCCTAATTGAGGAATGATGTATCCTGAGGCACAAGCTAAAGCTCTAACTTTGAATTTGGGCACAATTATCTTGAATTTGGGCCCTAAAGTGAAGAGTGCAGAAAAAGAGCCCAAATATGTCACTAATGGCTTGGAGGTACGAAAGGAATCTTTTATTCTTTACTTTATGTCTCTTTCTTTCTAGAAGGGAGTTAAAAATTGTTCAAAATCCTTACATGACATAGTCTATTTCAAGTTAGCTCAAATTTAGACAAAGTCGTCCAAAGGATTTGTTCAAGATCCTAATTTTTTTAAAGTTTGTTTTAGGTCATTTTAGAGTCAATTAGACTATCCTCATGATATGTTCAAGATCCTTCTTTTTGGGGTGCCTCATTTCCTTTCTAGGCCTATATAAAGGTCTTCATTGTAACCTAACGACAACTTTTGAGTCAAATTTGTTTTATCCACTATGAGAACCGTCCATCTTACTTGTGGCTTCAAGCACCCCCTTGTGGATTCAAGGGTTGAAGACTCTAAATCTATGAATTCCGATGCTGATTTCTTCTCCAAGATTGGAAGTTTGTGGATTCAAGTCATAGATCTTGTTATTGTTCGTATTACTACTATGTTAAAAAATCTTCCTTTTCCACATCCCAACTTGATCCACAAGTAACAACAGTAGTAGTAGCATAGATGGAGGCAATGATGAATTGACCACTCCAATAACCTCCTTCCTCTCCTTTCTCACCACCAAATAGTAGCCTCTATCTTCTAGACAAGTACATATGACAAGACAAAGAGATGTTGATGTTAGTTTTTATAACAATAAGTTAAAATTTATTGATAATTAATAATTAAATATTAATATTTATTATATATGTCACGTGTGTGTCTCAAATACTTAATGTATTCAACATTAGGAGTTTTTCTATTAATTATGTGATCTTATTACTTACACTCAAATTCAAAATATTGATATTGAGTAATTCCTTACTATAAGAATACTTGAACATAAAAGAATCTCAATTGAAGAATCATTTTCATAAAAATGATCAATATATACTTAAATAGGTATAAATTCAAGCGAATCATTCTAAATATTTTAACTTAAATTATATCCTTATCTAAGTATATTACATAGTATTTAACATTTTGAAGTGATGATAGATAAGTTTCCTGATTTGTCATGTAGATTAAGTCATCAAGAAAACAAGAAAATGAATGAGATATTTCAATTTCCAATAGAACATCTCAATGACAACAAGGCAACTACTTGCATGGACAAAGGTTAACTTCGTAAATTTAAGAAATTGTTAAAGGACAAAGACTTACTTATGAGAGAAGATTTTAAAATCAAAAAATAATTGAACACAAAAAAATTCAAGTCATAGAATCAAGCTCTTTTTTGTCATACACATTAACAACACATGAAAATGTTGTATTATCTTCTATGATTGTTTTTGACCAAATGATCAACTGTACCATCACAGTTCCTATTCTCTATTAAGTCCTAAGGTAATTAGGAGGTGAGGAGAGTGCTTGTTCGGTGAAAGCATTAGGTGTTGGTATCTATATTTGACTCAAAAATGATTTAATCTATGAGGAGAGAAACTCAAGGTACTTGAGTGACTGAGTTTGTGAATATCAAAATGTAATTTCTAAAGGAATTAGTAATACTAGAAGGAAGTTTCCTCTAGAATTGGAAGTAGCCAGATGAAAGACAAGTTAGTACAAAAATCTGTGTTCTTGGTGAGAGGAAGTTGATAAATCTTATCACAATACATTGTCACATCCATTGAGACATCTATTCTTACATGTACATTAGCACTCCTTAAATCAAAAAATTGATATAAATCTCAAAAACCCCAATTTACCCCCTTCTTATTTTAAACTTAGCTTTATAGTTTCAATGAGAGAGAGAAAGAGAGAGAGAGAGAGAGAGAAGAGGATTATAAATGATTTCTTCAAAGCACAAAGAGAGATAATGTTAGGCTGGGCCTGAGCCTAACTTCATTTAGAGACTTGAGGTTGGGCTAGCAAGACTTGAAATTAATTTACATGATACTAGCATGCTTTTAAAATTAGGAAATCATATTATAAATTCAGGGGACTGCAAAAATTGGGAACTTCACTAGAGAAGGCTGCACTTTCCCTATTGACGTTAGAGATTTGGAATGCTTCGATATAGTATGCCAAAAGCTTATTAAACATAACATAATAGAAATTTTCACTTTCAAAGAATGAATGTGAGTATGATTGAGTAGCCAAAAACATACCCATAATTGGAATCAAATCTCAATGGGAATAAATACATTTATTCTTCAATTGGTGTGGCTAAACTTAGTAATTATTATATTTCCCATTTTTCTGGTCAATGAAATACAATCGGCTATGAAGTTTCATGGGAAAGTGGCGATTTATGATGAAAAATAAACTTAAAAAATATGAGGGAAATGGCTCTACATGTTCCATGCAAAAATTAATGGTGGAAAATAAGCCCAAAAACTTAAGGTAGGAGGCTCGTAAGTGTAAGATTTAAGATTAAATCCCATGCAAATGACATTGAAAAATTAAGCTGGAAAAACTTTTGGTGAGAAGCTCATAAGACGGGTATATGAGGAAATAAATGGTATAATGACCCGGGAAGTAGGGTTTCAGATCTCACGCCCTCGTGGAACCGAAGATGAGTTTCGGCTGTTAACTGGTATCACGCAGGAGGTTCGGGGTTTCCATCATCGCCGTCCGTTAGAAGGCAGTGGCGTAGAGAAGGTGGCCTCCGCCGGTCTCTCTGGCTCCTCTCTCTGCCTTGTCAGCATCGCCTGGGCTTGGTTGATCTCGACTCTGGCCAAAACCCTAGGCCGGCGGCTCTGGGAGATAGCGGCCACCGTCGCCGCCGCCGCCGCCGCCGGCGAGGATTTTGCTCGGAGATGGTGGCACCGCCGTGCCGCTCCGCTGGATCTGGCCCCTCCCCTGCTGCTCGCCGTTCCCTTCTCCCCTCGCCGCCGTGAGCTGCAGCGGCGGTGGCGGCCTGCCCGCGCATTGTCCCCTACCGCCGAGGGATGTCTCGGGGGGGAACCCTAGTCGAAGAAGAAGAGGAGGTGGAGATGCTGGTCACCCTCTCCGGCGACGGCGCCATCGTCCGCCGCAGCGGTCGCTTCCTCCGACCGCGGGCCACCTCCTTGTACGAGGCGGCGGCGGTGCCGTTCGTCCCCCTTTTGCGGGAGATCCTCTCCCAGGAACTCCTCCTCGAATGGCCTCCTAAGGTCCTCTTCCGCGGGTGGCGGCTGCCGCAGGCGAAATGGGGCCAGTGGGTGGAGAAGCTCAAACCGATCTACCGCAACCTGTGGAAGAAGGCGAGGATCTACGACGCGATCATGGCCTCCGTCTGTGGGATCCGCAGGGATAGCGCCGCCATCTTCGCTCTGCTGGAGTGTTGGTGCCCGGAGACCAGCACCTTCGTGCTGCCGTGGGGGGAGGTGACCCTCACCTTGGAGGACGTGACGGTCCTCGGGGGGTTCCCCGTTCAGGGGGAGCCTGTGAGGGTGGGAGCTCTGAGCAGAGACGAGGAGGAGATCCTCGGGAAGATGGTGGAGGAGCACAAGGGCTTCCGCCGGAGAAGCGCCAAGAAGGCCTTCCACTACGACTGGATGAACTTCTACATGGCGGGGGCGACCGGCGGCGCCGCGGGGGACCAGGCCGAGCATCTGGCGTTCCTCTCGCTGTGGCTGTCGAGGTACGTCTTCCCTTCCCGGCCCTACGACACCGTCGCGCGGCGGGTCTTCCCAATTGCCGTGAGGTTGGCGCAGGGGAGGAAGGTTGCCCTCGCTCCGGCGGTCCTAGCTGCCATATACCGCGACCTGAGGGAGCTCAAGCAGCACGCTGTCAGCGGCGCCGCCACCGGCCCCGCAGTGTCGTGGGCGCCGTTGCAGGTGCTGCAGCTGTGGGTGTGGGAGCGGTTCATCTCCCTGCGGCCGGAGCAGCGCCCCCATTTTCTCCACTGGGACGAGCCCCGCGCCGCCCGCTGGCACTGCCTGGACCAGAAGTCGAAGCTCACCCTCGTCCGGTCGGTACTCGAGTCACCGGATGAGTTCCAGTGGCGGCCCTACACCACCAACCTCGACGACTGGGGCCACCCCTCCTTCTACAAGGACGGTGGCGAGTGGGCCGTCGTCGGCAGCGGCCCCGCCATGGACGATGGCGACGGCATCTCCCTCTTCGCCCGCTTCCTCCGCCCCTGCGAGCTGGTGGGGCTAGACTGCATCGAACCCTATTCTCCCCAGCGGGTGGCCATGCAGTTCGGGTTGGACCAGGACCTCCCCGGCCGCCTCCCCCGCACTGACACGACATGGGAGCTCGCGTGGAAGACCTACGATGGTGGCGCCATGGAGGAACTCGAGGTCTACGCTCCTCCCAGATTGCTGGAATCCGACGTTACCCGCAGGTTCTACGACTGGCAGAGGCACTGCGCTGTGGCCCGCAGTGAAGCTTGGAGGAGTGCTCTGTTTCAGCAGAAGCGGCTATGGCAGATGAAGCAGGAGGAGCTCTTCGATGTGAACCGGTGACTTCCAGGGTCGTCGGCCTGGAGGAGGGGCTTCACTTTTGGAGGCTCTTCCCTCCCCATGGCCTTGGAGTAAGGTGGCTGCTTTTTATGATTTTAGCTGGTGGGAAGGGAAGGAGAAGCAGCATCAGCATGAAAATGGTGAACTTGAAGCTGCGATCTTCAGTTTCCTCTGATAAGGAATCGCCATTTCTGGGGCAGCTATGTTGATTCCATGACTGAAGCAGAGTTCTTTGAACGTCTTTCTCAGGTACATCTCCAAATGATCTCTGGAAGAAAGTGTCAATGTTGTGGATTAGTAATCAGTCATTACCAGCATGAAATTAATAAATCTTCAAATAATACAAGGATATTTTGTACCCTCACCGTCATATTTTTTTCATGTAATTTCGATGCAAAAAGGAAAAAAGAATCCAGTCTTTCTGCTTGGGAACTAGGGAGGATCATGAACTGAGCACATGTGAGATTTATAGATTGGAGTGTTTTGTGTATTCCATGTTATTTGGAGGGTAAATATGGAGGAATTACACTTCTTTTCTCGTTTATTGCATTTTAAAAAAAAACTTTGTGATTGGATAGTTCTCCAACCCTTATAAAAAAATAGTTTAGGTAATCTGAAATTTTCCTTTAAAATGAGGGTCTTTGAATGCCCAAACTCACCTCTTTTTTAGAGAGATCCCCCTACCTTTTGCCATTCCAACAATCCCATTTGTAATGGTCTTTACTCTCTCTCTCTCTCTCTCTCTCCCCCCTTTATTCCTATCTCATCTCTAGTCTTAGAACATGGATCCATGCAATCTATCGAACTAACATCAACCATGGCTCCAACCTTGGCTCATCTCTCCATGTAGAATGTGAGAAGAGAAAAACTACCAAATCATCATGTGTTTATCTAAGATTGCAGCTTTTGGGTGTTGATCTTCACCAATCTTTGTGGATTTACATACACAGGATCCAAACTCTAGAGGAGGCTTATGTATGAGAAATTTTCCTGAACCAACGTGGAGAAGAAGTAATGAGGACCAAAGAAGCAGGATCAGTGTCCACATCACCCATGCCTCATCCAAGGCTGATTAAGGGATGATATTTCTTATTATTTAGTCATTGTGGATTCCTCTAATCAGGTGTGTCATAGAGGTTATAAATAACCTTTTCTACCCCTTGACGAAGCAGAGAAGAATCGTTTTGATTTTGAACATTTACCTGTTTGTTCACTCTATGAGTGAGAGGCTATGAGACCCAACCACCATCGTTTTATGAGAGAAAGGCTATGAAGTGTTTATGAGGTAAAAAGGCTATGACCACTATTATCCATCCACTGCTTGTTGTTATTATCATGTCCACAATCCACCAACATTGTTTATTACCCATTGATGTCATCTACCATGTAGTGTCTTCCATTTATTATCTAATGCCCTTCGTCTGCCACTTGCCACCATTCATTGTTTGAACTCATTGTTGCCACACTACCAACAATGATTAGGGCACAACTTGTACAATTGTTTTTGCCTCACATCATTGCACTCTCCATTGTTGTCATTGTGCCATTGCCACATGTGCCACCACTAGCATATTGTCACCAAAACTAGCATTCTACTACTTTGCCTGCTTTGTTGTTTTGTTTAACCCTTGTTTTATTGGACTGGGCTCTTGAAAGCTCATGTGACCGGAGGTGGGAAGATCAGGGCTGGAAAAGAATGTTAATAAGAACCGAAAAGCCCACCCTCTCATTGATTTAGTGTTAAATCTCTATTGATTTGTCACCCAGCAAATTGTTAAACCTAAATAGGTTAAGGTTTGTCAAATCGAAATCAGCTCGGCTCTGCCAAACTTGAGCTGACCTACAAATTGTCATATTCTAAGGTTTGTCTCATTGAACCACTAAACTTTCTCATCATTCTCAAGTCAATGGTCAATATTCTAATGGTCAATGCCCCTATAAATAGTCAACAATTAGGGATCCAACTTAGACATGTGCTATTAACTCCACAATTGTCACTTTTCATATCATGATAATCTTTGAACCCTATTTCTTTTTGTAATAATCATTTGTTTATTTAATATCTTGTTTTTTAAAGTGTGTTAATCCTTTACTATTATGAGATAGGTTCATTTTTTGTTAAAAGTTGATAGAGAGTGCTATAATAATCTTTTAAATTTCAATTAATCAATTTACAATGAGTGGAGTGCCTTAATCCTAGGTAGTTATTCAATTGTATCGATTCAATTCATTTCAAGTCATATGAGAAACTACTTGGACATGTCTCAATTACTTCCTAAAGACTCATAGTCCTAATGTGAGAGAGTTTAGAATTAGTCAAATTATTTTATTCTTCCCCACATCAAAATGTGTGAAGGTTATTAGTCAATGCTCCCTATGTTTTTTTTCTTTTGACATCCAAGTGGCTCCTCATTTCTTGCTCTTCATCTTTAATGGATTTCCCCTTTTTCTATTATTTGTAATTGTTTGTTGCCTTCCAGAATCACCTTTGGGACCTCAATCCATTATAGCACCACCCATTCTCTTTCCAAAAACAGCCATCCAGTTTCCTCTAACTTTCATCCCACGATGAGAAAGAGGAGGGAAAAAAGAAAGTTTCACATACAACCCCCATCAATTTTTTAACAAACACAATTTTCTATTATTATCTCCCCTTACTAATTCAACACTTTTAAAGAGCCAATCATTTTTCATCTTGAAAATAACCTTAGAAATAGGATCATAAAATTTATAATCCCTTGAACTTTCAAAATAACAACTAATAATTTTAGAGTGAAGTTTATTTTTATTAGGCATGTAAAGTTTTGTCTTTGTCAGATAATTATAAATGTGTAAATATTTTAATTAGACTTTATGTTTGTTCAAAGCCCATAATAGGTTGTGATAGTTGATTTAGTTTGAAAATTATATAGCAAATAAACTTACTCTTTCAATGTTTATCTTTAGAAGTTTTTTGGAATGATAGTTTGATTAATCATATTTCCTTATTAGATCTATTATATCCTTGGGTATTCAATTTCATGACTCGTCAACACCTTTCATATTAAGAGATTTAGATATCATATAATGTAAAAAAGATATCACACTTTTCTTAAAATTTAGTGATAGACATTATATGTTGTTCACTTGATCCATTATATTTATTATAATACTCACCACTATGATTTGATATAATTGTTTAAATTTCTTTCTTGAGTTGATAATCAATTCTAATATTATTGAACATATCTAGAGATTGAAACTTTTATTGGATAATAAATAACTAACCATATTACGAATAATTGTCTGTCAATGTAATAAAATTTTATTAATTATTTCAAAAAGTCATGAAACTCAATTGACAAATTATCTCGGTATTTATTTGGTTTTCCTTGATACAATTGGCACATTAATCAAAACCCTAATGATCAAGTAAGTTAGGAATTTCTTGAAATATCTTCTAGATCTATATGGCTCAACTTAGTGTCATAATAATGTAAAATTATCATTAGTTAATTTTCATACTAGTTGAATTTATTTGTAATATTTCATTAGAAGAGACAATTACATAGGTATATTGTTTATCGTAACTTAATAAAATAATTACTAATTCAATTTAAATTTTAGAGACACTAAACTTTTCATTTATAAATAGATAAGAATAAATAAATTTATTTAAATTAGAAATATAAACCAAATTATGTCTAAACTTACAACATGACTTATTCAAATCCAAATAGCAATCAATTTTTAATAATAATCTAAAAGTTCATACTGACTTTATTTCAACATATTATTGTCACTCGTGAAGTATAGATGTATCTTTTATCATCAAGTAACTTTTGACATTAGAGACAACTCTATATAGACACACTTATGTATATGTTAACTCAAAGTCTTTAGGTGTCAAAAAGTAGAAAAGTTAAAGTGATGTATGAATAAATAACTATTAAAAGTTGGTCTTTGTGTATATTAAATTTGATACTTGATGTAATCTTTCTTTATATTTTTCCCATATTTTTTTAAAAGTAAGTTTTTTATTTTACTTTTTGTGTAATTTGCTACTTGATGTAATCGATTGGTTTTTTTTAATGTGATTTTATATTTAGAGATCTCATACAAATGAACGCTTACACATCTATCTTGCTACAATTTTCTTTTGTTGTCTGCAATATTATATGAGCTCATTAAAGGATTATATTTTTCATTTTATAATTATAATTTACATTAAATCGACTAAATTTTATAAAAATAAAAAAATAAATGAATAATTCTTCCAAGAATTATAATTTTAATGTCTTTAGTTTTAACATAAGTGAAGACATTGTCATAATGTATTCCTTGATGTTTACTCTATATTGTACTTTATAGAGATGATGTTTATTTAGATTATGTTTGTTCCAACCTTATAGTTGTTAACAAATATTTTTTCAAATTTTTCAAGAAACACATTTGGAGTTGCAATCTGTTAGAACAAATGTCCTTAAAAGATCCTAGAATGGATGGCATCTTTCTTGATTGTAAGACTCGTGTAATTGTATTAATCTTAATTTTTTATTTATCTTATCCTCATGAGAGCCCATAAGTCAATCTATCTTTTATGTAATGTAAGGTAGATTTATTTATTTATTGAAAAGTTTGATATTAAGTATATGAATGAAATTAAGAGTCATATAAATATTAGAAGTATAACTTGAATCTACAAAAAGAATAATTTAATACTCATATAAACAACTTAATTTGAAATAATAATACTTCACATCATAAGAAATCTGCTGCAATATTAATATTGTGCCTTTGGATGAGGTCTAGGCTGCCCAGACATGCAACTCTTGAAAGAGTTTATCCTTGGCTTGGTCGGCTCTATGATTGATTTATTTACTTGTCTTCTCTTGCATGATTTGAGACATGGTTCCTAGCTGCTTATGGATTTCTGCATAATCGTTTTGAAGCTCTTGTAAAATTTCAGCCTCTCAAACTGATCCTTGAGGAGGGCGTGACAAACCACCTTGAGCTACTTCTCTTGGATCTTGAGTTTTAGATTAATGGGTTTGGGCCCCATGAATTTGTAGTTGATGCTCTAATACCAATAATGATGGGTGCCCTAAGGTGGTAGGAGGGAGAAATAAGAATTCATTCATAAAATACTTGCATGTAATTTCAATTGGACTCTTATGAATGGTACAAGAATGGTAGGAAGGATGGAGAAGAAGTGGGGACATGAAAGAAGGGATAACACCTCAGTCATGCAAGATATGGCGTATAGCTGATATGAGATGGACAATCAATCTCCCAGCTCCTCTCGAAGTTAAGGTAAAAACCATTACTGAATTGGTCAGTATGATTCTGCTCAACGGCAGGATCCATCATACTATTGTCCTCAAGACAATCCACTTCTGCCAAGTCTTGGTCCTCCCGACCACTTTCAATGACCAAGCTCGACCTGGCCATATTCCCTTTTGTAGGGTCAGCATAACTCTCAGAGGATCACCTTTCGCATGGCTGGGGCCCTGATAATAAGGCCTCAACACCTATGTAACGCCAAATTCTCTAGTGGGATCATGCCAGCAGCTTAGCTGCCTAGCCAAGGTGCCACAAGTGGAGCTGGGTGAGGAGGTGGTGCCACATGGACGCAACTGTTGACTCTAGATCATCAGTGATTCTGAAGCTGAAGGGGCTTCAGAAGGCCCTCTAGAGAGAGAGAGGTCATCAAGAAGAAGAGTGAGGCATGGGTGGCAGAGGGAAGGGTGGTACCACGAGCTCCGGGCCTGTCCCCACTATCAACTCAGGAGGAGGACCTATGATCACGTTTGGGTTACCTCTCCTCTCTTTGTGTTCTCCATGCAATTCTTACTTGCTTCTTTGCTTCCATGAAAGCGTTGGTGGGTGGGCGGCTCCATATATCCATCCCCTTTCCCCCGGTATTCTTCTATTCAATGATTCAAGCGTTGAATGAATATTGTTCGTTAGAAGACTCTTGGTAGGCTTGGAGCATTATTTCCCTCGAGTAAGCACTGCCTAGGCAAGACAATAAGACTTTCAAAGTAGAGCAAGCCGCATGCAGGAGATGGCCCAGGATTTCCACGGTGCTTCATGTCCAGCTGGTTGCTGTAGCTTGTGGTCAGAAATAGCTTTTCCAAGTATGTTTTTTTTTTCTTTTTGTGGGAAGATCATGAGCTCTGGTCCTAGAGAGGATTATGCCCAAAAAAAGAAGTTGCTTCCTGTCCAATAAATAAAAATATTCATTGGATTAAACTATGTGTTCATACCTTCCTCTGATGAATGTAAATAAAATAAATCATGGGGACTTTTGTTAAATGTTGCACTTTCAAAATGACCTCTCCGCCGCCATGGGTGCCTGGATGTTTCATATTATGCGCAGCCCCCTGGTGGATCTTTTCTTTGCATTGCAGCCCCTTCCTCTGCAACCACAGCTCTCACGCCCCTACTTCGAAATCGGCTTCACCCACAGTTTCCTCACTACCCGCCCCTTCATTATTTCCAAAAAGAGGCTTTCTTTGGAAACCCACATAAATAACCCAGGGACATATTTACCCTTCTTCTGAAAGTTATTTTTTCTAAGTCTTTAATAAAAATATAAGGCAGAATTTTCTTAAAAATTCTCCACATGGGCCATTTTCTTAAATTAATAAATCATTAAAAGCTTAATAAATAAAATGGTTTATATTTTTAAAAAAACTCTCATGATAAGAGATTGGTTCTGCCGTTCTGATACCCTGTAAAATAATGGCCTATTTTCGGAAATTCGTCTTATAATTACACCCATAAATATTAATATGGTAAATCTGATCTTTACCCATTTGTTAACATTTATCCTTTTTGCTCTACAAATGAATTCGCCCTAACCCATCTTATGTCAATCCTATTACTCTCTCTCTCTCTCTCTCTCTCTTAGTGACCACTCTTGAAAGTCGTATTCTTTTAGTTAAATATTAAAAGACTAGATGGTTAAAATGGTTAAAGTGGTTTTTGAAATGGTTGAGGACATCATACAAAATTTACATTTTTGGAGGTTTTACGAATAATTTAAAAGGTTTTGAGAGGCTCTCTGAAATAATTAACGGGAAGAACAGAAGTGTCGCGCCGTCTTCGTTTTCGTGGCTCCGCCGTCGTAAGCTCCAGCAGCTAGGGCTCGCGCTGTCCCTCCGCCGCTCTCCCGAGCGGTTCGCCGGAGGCAGAGAAGGGTGGGGAAGGGGAAGCCGAGGGGGAGGAAGGAGAGGAGGCGGCCGCCGGGAGCCGAGGGCGCCAGCGGTGGCATTCCTGCTGCTGGTGCCGCAGCCGAGCGATCATCATGCCGCTCTTCCTCTCGGAGGAGGAGTTCGAGCTCTGCCGGCACGAGCCGGCGGTGGTGGCGGAGAAGGCTGACCAGTTTATCCGCGATCTTCACCGCCAATTGGAGACGGTCCGGGCGGAGGCTGACGCTGCTTCCATTGCCGCAGAGCATACCTGTTCCGTGCTTGAGCAGCGTTACGCTACGCTCTCTGCGGACTGCGCCAAGCTCCAGGCCGAGAATGCCCGCCTCTCCGGTTCAGCCGAGAAGCGGCTATCCGAGCTTGCGGAGGCCCGGGCAGAGAAGCACAACCTGCACCTTAAAGCCGTGAGTAAAAATCCTGGCACCTCTGTTCGCCCTCTCTGCATCTTTGTTTGCAGTCGCAAAAAATGCCTCATTTTGCCATCGTGCGTTTTACTGTTCTCCTGTTATCTTGTTAGATCTCCAAGGACGGAGAGGTAGAGAGGCTTACTGTGGAAGTTTCTGAGCTTCACAAATCAAAGAGGCAGTTGCTGGAACTAGTAGAACAGAAGGATGTCGAGATTGGTGAGAAGAACGTGACCATCCAGAGCTATCTCGACAAAATCGTGAGTTTTTCCTTCGATCATCTGCTGCGTCCCCATTTTGTCTGACTCACTATATACGCTTTTTTTAATGTCTTTTGCCGCTCCCTTTCCTGCACTCAGCCTAATATTTCATGGAATGCTTTTGGCACCTCTTCTTATCTGACTATACTCCTCTGTCATGCCAATGGTAGACTTATAGTCCAACCAATCCATTTGTGCTGACATCAGCAGATTAACTTTCAACTTTGAAAATTGCTAATAGTGAATCTACGTATGTGCTGCATTTTTTTTATCCAATCCATTCTTTTAGTTATGCTGTGTGTTTTACCTATTTTATTGAAATACATCACCTGATGATGTTGATATTCTCTTTTGGGAAAAGATTCATTTAACAGATAATGCTGCGTCAAAGGAGACTAGATTGCAGGAAAATGAAGCTGAATTGGCACGCTGTCGCTCTGAATGTTCTCGCCTTTCACAGGTTCACCGTGCTACCCTTGTTTATTTTATTCAGTTATGGCATATCTTGTTTTATCCACTCATATATCTTCTCTACTACTACTGCTGCACTTTTTGGTCAACATGTACTGACGTTTAAATAATTGGGTTGAGGTTTTACCGTTAAACTCATCCCAATTGTTTAAATACTTCCATTTTATCTAAATAGTGTCGTTTAAGTGTTATGCAGGCGAGCTGTGTTTTGACTTTTTAGATTTTCCACTCTGTCCGGATGTCATGAGATTTGTGGTTTTATCAGTTTCAATGATTTTTTTATGATGCTTAAATTAGGCTGATCCAAATTTCTGTGCATCATTTTTGGATAGAAATATGTTTGGTTATTTGAATTACAAAGATATTTATATATCTGATAAGGGAGTATAGTTTTTACTCGCATATGAGGGGGTTGGGAACTCTGAAGATTCTCTTTATGCTGCACTTTGCAGAGAGCAGATTCATGGTGCTACTTGATTCCCTAATGAGAGGTTTTGACAGGATGCTTTAAAACATTAGATGTTGTAATAGGAAAATTCTGTAATGAATGATTGACAGCTGGATGTGAGGAAATTGCGTTCAAAGAAGTCAACCTTGTTATCCTTTATCCAATTCCTCATTTTTTGCACTGTTATGGCCCCTTTGTCTCCCGAATTTCTTCCCCCAAATCTCGTCTGTTCTGCCCTATTTGCTTTGCATTGATGCAGATCAAGTTAAATTACTATAGATTTGAGATGAATCTTCCACCCCACTCTCTTTCCCTCCTATCATTTAGTTTATGTAACTTAATCCCGAGGACAAGTTGGAAGAGGTTGGCAAAGGTGTGAGCTGGACTATTCTTTACGGAAATGACTTAGAGATAGTAAAGGCGATAGAAAAGGAGGAAAGTCGTGAGGGTGAGTAGAATTTGGTGTTGGAAGGATGTGAATTGAGTTGTGGATCAAGATAGCTTCTCATGTTTCCTCTTTTAGGCAAAGTTTGGACTGTTCCAGGATGTCTAAAAAATCACGTGAACGTATTCAGGTTTACAAATCTCTTGGTACAGCTCATCTCCCTCACTCTTATGCTCCTGTCTCTTGTCCCTCTTCCTCATTCCCGTCCAACACTTAATGAAGAGATGAACCTGGTATCTTCCACCAAAGATCTGTTATCAATTTTATATCAAACCGCACATCACAATTTCAAGGAGGAATTAATAAGTGGTCGATTATATACTATTCGAAACACTAGTTCGTTTTCGATTTCTAATGGAGGATGAATGTTTTCTTCTTTCCTGCTTGGCCCTGGTTCTCTCTTTTTGGCTGTTGCAGATTCTTTCGAAAGAGTTTATTATTAAATTTTCGTTGTTAGCATGTTAACTAGTTAGAAATTGATGGAATGTGGTGCTGATTATCATTACTTAGAGGTAATTCGTGTTGAGTATGTTTCAATTTTTTTTACATGCAGGAAAAAGAACTCATTTCACAGCACAACGGATGGCTTAATGAAGAATTAACAGTAAAAGTCAATAATCTAATTGAGCTTCGCAGAACACATATGGACTATGAAGCAGAGACATCTGCTAAAATTACTGATGTAAGGCTATTTCTATTAGATTCTAACAAACCCAGTTTAGTGATAGATAATTATGTGATAATATTTTGAAACGCAGCTTGAGAGTCAACTTAGTGAATCATCTAAGAAGCTAAAGTGGAGTGAGGAAAGAGTCAGAGAGCAGGAAAATAAATTGAAATCCCTAGAGGAGGTAGGAGACTTTCCATCATCTTCTCTTTTATTTCTTTTTCTTTTCTATGCTTATTTTGCTTCTTATACCATTCTTTCTATCCTCAAAAGGAATTATACTCGTGCAAAGATGCTGCAGCTGCTAATGAAGATCGTTATGTGGCTGAGTTGGCTACTGTAAGTTTTAAATTAATGTTTTCCAACTTGTTATAACTGTTTCATGTTTTAGTAGTTTATGAGGGCGTTTTCGTTATACTTGTTCAAGATTTCTGTCGAATGGTTGTTAAAGTTTTGTGATCATATTTAAAATACGTTAGAGAAAAATATAGTTTGAAATTTTATTAAAAGAGTTTTCATTCTCAGACTTCATCCTTATGAAGGATTTAAAATAAAGAGATAATTCCTTTTGCGAAACATTTTATGGCTCGATGTTGAAGATAGATAATCTTGGTGGAGATGGGCTTCAAAGCTGTATGTGAATGGTTCAAACCGTGCACTGCCGAGATCTAGGCGGCATCAGGTTGTTGAACAGTGTGTTTAGTGGTCTGCTTTGAAGCTGAGCCAATCAGGAAAAGGGGTTTCTTATACAGAAGGTTGCAGCAGCTTGAATCAGTGGAATTTTCATTCTTGAAGAAGGGTTGCAAGGGAGGTGGAATCTGTGGCAACGTCATCTATTGGAGACCTTGGTGGCGTGCCCTAATGAGGAGACCAAAATATGGTTATAATGAGATTTTTTATTGTAGTTTTACTCTACTGAGGATGCTTGAACTTTCTACTTCTTCTATATACTGCTTCCATTTTTTTGTGTATATTCTGTTTCATCACTGCATAATTTAACGTCAATTTTCCACCCATTTCAGTGATTCTGTCATGCATGTCATAAATCATTTGGCTCGCTATGACTTTCAATGAATTTTATTAATTCTTTTGCTTTCCTTTGAACAACCAAAAGGTTACAAAGCTTGTTGAGTTGCACAAGGAAAGCTCTGAGGAATGGTCTAGAAAGGCAGGAGAGCTTGAGGGTGTCATCAAAGCACTGGAAGTAAGAATTGCTGAAATTGAATTACTAATCTGTGTCATTGTGTTTTTTTTCTTTTAATGTCTACAATTCGTTCTTATACTGTTGCTGTGAGTGTAGACACATTTGAACCAAGTTGAAAGTGATTACAAGGAGAAGCTTGAGAAGGAGTTATTATCTAGGAGAGAGGTTGAAAAGGTATTCTCCTGTCCCTGAAAAGGCTATGAACCTTCTGTAACATTTTATCAGCAAAAGCAAAGAAGAAATACCTAGTTCTTTACGTAATATCATTTTTTCTTGTATCTCAGATACTAGATTATACTACTGGTTTAACAATTCGTTCTTTCTGGTTTTCTGTATCCTACATTTCCTTGTTGCCCATTTCTTGATTTAAATGAAGCTTTACCTCTTGAATCGTTTTTTAGATAAATTAATGATCATAAAAGTTATAATTTCTTGACACTTGTCGAATTTCCTTCACTTCCTCTGGATCTTCGGGGAAAAAAACCTCCTCTTGTAGAGAAAGGGAAATTCAGTTCGGGGAAGGTTCAGTTCAAAAATGAGGCAATTCCTGAGTGTGAGGAAGGTTCTGGACATGTGAACCGTACGCACACTAAGGAGAAAACAGACACTAAGACAGTCACGTGAGTCACTAAGATAGTCATATGACACACTAAACGGAGTATTTTAACAACACTTCGGTATATTTTTTTGGGCTTTCTCTGTGTGTGTATTCGTTTTGATCTGCTTAGGTTTAACATCTATCAAGGATCACACATCCTTCCAGGAGATATTCTTTGGTACTTTTTCGTCATAATATGTTCTGTTTCCTGCACATTTAGTGAATCCTGACATTGATTGATAATGTCGTGTGTGCAATAGCTGATTAAAATGTATAACATGTTACCGTAATTAAAAGATGCCTTGAGTGTTAGTTGTCCACAATCTCTTCCATCAAGAACTGAGGTCCGGCAACATATGCATTTTAGTTCTTTGTCGCATTCAGTTGTCTTCTGGTTATTGTTTCTCTTGTACTTTTCATCATTATCTCTGTTATAGGAGAAATCGAACCTTCTATTTGCTAAGATTTATTATTTGGGCTGATGACTACTTTCAAAGTGAAGTAGATGTTTGCTGTTTTTCCATTTGCGTCAAATGCTGAGATCAATGATAACTACAGTTGCTTAAGTGAAAAATATATTCAGGGTTACAACAGTGATCACATATGGTAATTTGAGCATAGAGATTGTTTGTATTAAAACAAGGGTATTCAAGTGTCTGTTAGATCGGTAAACCCTTGATGCAAAGAGAATTTATGTACTGATAATCTTCTCTTTTGTTGTTCTTCTGCTCTTCCTTTCTTGTTATAGGAGGTGTTGGACTTGAAAGAAAAATTGGACAAGTGTGAACTTGAGCTTGAGAAAACCAGGAAGAATAATGAATTATATTTTCTTCCTCTTTCCAGTTTCCAAAGTGATGTCACTGCAGAAGAGTAAGTCATGTCTATCCGAATCTGTTATTTTCTGAAATAATTGAATTTTGATTCGTTGATTATCTTGTTAAACTTTGTCAAAAATTTACTATCGAAGTTTGTGAACTCTTCTAGTTTAATGCATACTTTGCATTTTCAACAGACAGTTATCACCAAATTTTGTCACAGATATGCAATACTCTTTGATTCTCTCTTTCGTCCTTTTTAATGTTTGTATTCACATCATTATAAGGGATGTATATCATTTTCTAGAGCAATATGTGAACATTCATTCCAGTATAATCGTGGCACACAAAAATTATGTTCCGTCCATTTTGCATGGAGGTTAGAACGCTTTATTGTTTCAGAAAGGTCTTTGTTTGTTATCGTTTTTATTTTCTGTAGAAATTCATATGTTTTTTCCACTCAGACTTTTACAATTCCAAATGTTTTACCTGGTTGTGTGACCTAATGAGCTTTATGTTTCTATTGTGATGCTCTTACTTTGCCAGGTTGATTATTGGGAATGAAGACCAGAATGAAGGCGGCCATATGATTGTCCCAAAGATACCAGCCGGTGTCTCAGGAACAGCATTAGCTGCTTCCCTTCTTCGGAGTGGTTGGAGTGTAAGTAAACACATTATTTGTCACATGCTGGAAAGTTATTTTATCTTGTTAGTGATATATAACTTGTATTCTAAATGGATATTTCTTCATTTTTTTGATTCACTAGCTTGCTAAGATGTATGAAAAGTATCAAGAGGCTGCTGATGCTCTGCGCCATGAGAGGTGGGAGAGGAAGCATTCTGATGCCATTTTAGAACGGGTATTGTTATTTTTGAGATATACTTGCCTTCAGGAACGTCATTTTGATTTGGTTTTATTTTACTTCGAGTCAAGTGTCATTTTGTATGACTGATAAATTGAGAGGAAGCTATCGTGGATTCAGTCCTGAATCATGGAAATTGGAGTACACATTCTGGATAAACATGCCTGATTGTGATAGCTTGTAAATAGCAAGGCAGATAAATCGGTAACGAAATTTATTTGTGTCCTGATGTAAAATTATTCAGTTTGCAGATGAACAAATCAATGCATGTAAATGTTTGTCCCATTTCAGGAGAAAATCATGGCAATTTAAGACCACCTTTTATCAGCGACAATGCAAAGCCAGAGATGCTTCCCATTTATGCATGTTTCAGTAAGGACAAAATTCTATGTCCGTAGTCAAAGTAATAATGTTGTCAACCCTGACTCCCTATCTCTTTGTGAGAGACTGAATAGACTCAGACCTAGATCTCAAAGGGAATGTATATTATCCTGACGTAAGCCTTTGCATCAATGGAGAAGGTTCTGTCATGCTGATATCCTCATAATCCTGATGTCAGGATGTCAAAGAAATGTGCCACAGTTTTCATGGCATGAAAAATTCAGATTATTGATATCCTACAACGTAATATTCGTTGCTTGTCACTTCTGCGTCCAGAAACGAATTAGGAAGTCCCTACCAGATATAGTGCAGATAGGATGGACAAGACGTCTCAACCGTTTATTTTCGGAATGCCAGAGCCTACTTAACCCATTGGATCTCCTAAGTAACTATGATTCCTTTCCATACGGTACTAATAATGCTATTATCAACCAACGCGTGGCCTACTCTTTCTGTCTAGAAACCAAATGAGAATACTGATAATATTGACATTCTAGAGTTTTAGCCTAATTAGAGGTTCATACTTTTTTTTGAGGTATGTTATAAAAGTTTTTGGGCTGCAGCATCAGCGACTTAAGTTCTAAAATTTAAATCATCACAGGTTTCCTTGAATTCCTATCCTAGCTGTTGTAAATTCGAGCTGTACTTGAATTTTTTCAATAATTAATTATAGAAGGATGACGACTGCTTTGAAATGTTTTCATTGTTACTTCTGCACTTCTCAGGTTCTGCGGGAAATAGAAGAGAAGGCAGAACTTATTTTGGATGAACGAGGTAGACACTTCTTGACTATCTAGTTTGCTTTCCTTGTGCTCCCACATTTACAATTTTTACAGCTAAGTTGTGGATTGGTTGACACTATTATAACACATATTTTTAGTTTTAAAGGAATGAAATTGTCTCCTAATTGATTCTTATTGTCTCAGAGACTCCAATTCAAGTCATAAGGAATTCTGACACTAGATGTGTTGCCTCATATCATAACATTTCTTGGGCATGTGATCAGTCTCTTGGTTTGGTTTCGCGAGCTAGCAGAGTGCTGTTAAGATGCAAGGAGAGTAGTTCAGAGAGATCAGTTTCTTTAATGTTCAAATTTAGTCGGAAAACTTTCCTTATGATCATTTGTCCTTTATGCTTTATTATAATTAAAGATGTCTGTTGAAAAAGAAGCTAGGGTATAAACCTCCATGGATTTCTAATTCTTTTTGCAAACAAGTGGGTAATGGACCATGATGTTACTAGATCACTTGCATTTGCCTTTGTTACTGTCTTACCCTGAAAAATTGCGTGCTACTTAGCGAACCCATTGTCTCAGCTTGAAAATGTAGAATTCTCTCCATCTGCAGGTCAACTCTGGCGGATAGGTGGCGTTTTCTATCTTAGTTCCAGATCCTAGTATGCATAAATTATGTGGATTAGCTTTTCAAATCAAATTTTGTTAAATGCGCGAATTCTAGTGTATACATTTAACATGCATATTCATAATTAATATTACTGTCTATGATGGTGTTTCCGATCATTGTTGCTTTTATCTTGTATCTTAACAAAACCGCAGGCTGGAACCGTTTTCATATTTTTGATCGTCATTGTGTTCTACCGAAATGTGATAAATTGGAGTCTTTTTCCTACTTTCAATCTTTGATGCAAATTTTCTAACGTGCTTTCATAGTTGATAAAATTTTCCATTCGTGCTTTTCAGCTATCTAGTTATTTGTATGTGGCTGTTCCCAATGATATGAAGCTTATCCTTTGTAAACAAAGTGTGATGCTTTAAACAGACATTGCTGGGATTATTTTAACATTCTCATTTGTGAAATGTTACTGTTGTTTTCTAAAATGTTGATCAAGCCTTTTTTATTTTTCACAGTGCAACATGAGAAGATGGTGGAGGCATACAGTTTAATGAATCAGAAATTGCAGCAGGCACTTTCTGTGCATGATTCTTATGAGAACACTGTTCGAACACTAAAGGCAAGCAAAGCTTGGTTTCCTAAAGTAGGCTGTATTTCGTCCTTCTGCTGAGTGTAAATATTTGCCTCTGTAGGCTGAATTGAAGCGTAGTGAGCGTGATCAACGCATTGCTCAGAAGGAGATAAGTGACCTTCAGAAACAGGTAATGTCTGGTACCTTTTTTGTTGTAGATCTTCTTTCCTTTTTTTTCTAGCTTAGTTTAAAATTTTGCATTTGTTGACGTTTAGATTGATAAAACTTTTCAGCCTTGATGACTTATTTGTTTTGATTTTAGTTCTTGGGTTATCTTCCCTCATACAATAATATTAATTTTGGTATTCCGTTTTCATGCTATTTATTTTTTTATTTTTTTGTGCTAGGTCACGGTTCTCCTCAAGGAATGCCGGGATATTCAACTTCGCTGTGGAGTTGCCAGTCCACTTATTCCTGGTGACTTTTCTGCGTCTACTTTCATTGACAATCATGGAACTGGAATGGAGAAGTCTATTTCAGAACAAATTGTGAGTGATCGTTGCTTTTTTCTCTGACCTATTTTTGATTTTTAATAATTATTTTGATTGCATAATTATTGAGATGAAATTATATGCCTAAGAAATACAAAATGTGAATGATTGTCTGTGAAATAGATGCGTGCGAACCTCTTTTCTTGTTGTAGACACTTGGTAAGGTATACAATTGGATGGAATCAACAAAAATCTTCTAATTTGAACGGAGTGAATCATCCTCGTCATCGAGTTTCATTATTTTGACCACTTGAACAGTGAAAGTAATAGACCCATTCATGATAGCCTGTTCCTGAACTTTCGCCAAAGCCTTCTAATATATCTCTTGCGCCAAACAGCTCAAAGGGTGGAGCTAAAAGCAACTTCAGTTCTGGCATTTGTACTCCCTGCTGTTCACCATTTCTTGATACTTCTGTGTAAAAATCTGGGACGTCGAAAAAGTTTTCGCTGATAATTTCTGTAGCACTTTTAGGTGCTCGTCTTTTCTGTTTCAATTTCATTAAGATTTCTTCTAATAGAGCTGGCATATATCATTAACAGAAGCTGCATGAACCGAGTGATTGCTTTTTTTTTTTCCCCCTATTCATATGATTGAACATCTTGGTTTTTAACTTTAGGGAACTTTCAGAGGGTTTTCTCAATGAAATTATCAAAAATTTCTAATTCGCAATTATTGAAACAGCTGACCTTTAAGGATATACATGGGCTAGTTGAACAAAATGCCCAACTTCGGAACCTCGTGCGTAAGCTCTCTGATGAGGAGGAAATAAGGGATGCAGAGCTAAGGGTATAGCTATTTTCCTACCTTTGGATTACTATTCCGGCTGTGGAATGGATGTGATACTCCATCGTACATGGAAATTTAAATCGTTTTCCTTGGATACCTTTGTTCAGTTGTGCTTTTCGTATGGCTTTCAGGGTGATTTCCAATTGCAGCTCCAGAAGGTTACTGATGAAGCAGCTGCTAGAGTTGAAGCTGTATTGAAAAGATCTGAGGAGCAAGGACAGATGATAGAGTCACTCCATAGTGCTGTACGTTTTTCAACATGGCTCTATAATATTCTGTGGACTGTAGAATCATGTGTCATTTTCTTTTCCGCTTGGCTTGTCTATGGAAGGATGAGGACGAATTAGAAGGAAGAAAATGGGAGGTGAAGAAAAAGAGAAAAGACACAAAAGGAACTAAACTCACACGAACCATCATTGACAAATGCTAGTTGCTACAGTTGTTGGCCAGCCTACTATACGACTTTTTTTCTTTTGCCCTACCACCACCATGTAAGGGGATTGATATTGAGAAGTCAGGATTTTGGTGGCGGCATTGAGTAATTTTTGAAAAGTTTTGTTGGACCTTTTCGCACGTTACGCTTCTGTCAAAAATCTGAATACGTTGTAAAAACACTACGTTCTTGGCATTGATATTTTGTTTCTGGTTCCTGATTTTTTTTCTATATTTTATTCTTTAAACTTGGATTGTGTATGTTCGTTATAACTATCTTGTCATTTAAGAGAGATGATATCATGTCTTCTCATGTAGGTTGCAATGTACAAAAGGTTATACGACGAGGAGCGTAAAAGCAGCACATTGATTTCTCCAACAGCTGAGCCTGTTACTGGTATTTTTACTCTACCATCCTATGTAATGTGAGAACGATGATTTTTTCTTGAAAATCACTATAATTTCTCTGCTAAATTGAATTTACCGTTGGAATGATACTTCAGCTTGATGGTTTATTTTCGTCTTCATTGTCGATTTGGTATCTGCAGAATTTTTAGTATGATTCTTTTAATGCCATTTATTGGATGTTTTGGGCTGGCCTGGGATATGGTCAGTGTTGAACTGATTGTGTAATTTGATTTGTCTAAGCATACGGTTTGGGGAGTCACCACTGGCCCACAGTGGCTAAGATTGTTTGATGCCTTGGTATACAAACCCAAAACGATATACTCCGAAAATATTTTGTTAATCATGCGAAGTGATATAAAAAAAGGTAATTAATGAAGATTGCTGCACTTGGCAGATCACAAAGATTTGCCTCAGATGAGGGTTTTTGTAGATTTGCAATTGGTTTTCTGGTGAGAAGGTAACTATCTAGATGAGAGACTTTTTCTTTCAAAGGATAAGCGAAATTGCCCTACCTGATTATATTAGGAAAATCAGGTTGTTAGTGATCCTCTTATTTTTCTCTGAACAATGTCAACTTGAACATCATGAGGCGCCTTGTGTTGAGGATGAGGTTTAAGGGTCAGTGACCGTATGTTGAGCCAGAGCCATGTGTACTGCGAACTAGATTCAGAAAAAAAAAATAATGTAGACTTCTAGCATGGCTGGAATAAGTCGAAGTGATCCAATGGTATACCCAAGGTCTCCTTGAAGAATGTGGGGGAAGATAATGATGGCGTCCAGTACTAATATGGTGGTGTCTTGTTGGAGGAATAATTAGAAGCTAGGATGACTTAAGTGTAAGAAATTCTTTGAATGAGTCCTCATGGTGTCTAGGTTACATAGAAATCATAACTTCCGATTGTAAAAGAATTCGGATTTTCGGTGTAGAAACTACTGAGGTCTATCTTCTGAGGTGAATGTTAATCGGATAGGATCTCTATCTGGGAACTATTGCATACATTTTTCTTACGTGGCTGGTTTTGTGTGAAGTATTTAGGTGGAAATATAGTCAATCATTTTATTTGTTTTCATTTTTAGTTTTATTCCATTTTCAGTTAGAAAATTTCTAGTAATCGGCATTTGTGATTGACTGATACTGAATTTTGCAGAAGGAAGAAATGACCTTGTACGCTTATTTGAAGGTTCTCAGGTAAGGATTTAATCAATGTGTTTTACTTGAATACTCATTTTGGCATTTTTATTTATAACTTTCATATTCCATTGGAAGGAATCTGCAAAGAAGGGCCATGAGCAACTTGTAGAACGCATTCGTTCTCTTGAAGAGGAGTTGGCTACATCAAGGTAGTAAAATAATTTTTCTATTTTTGTCCTCTACTTTTCAAACATTGTGATTATATTCCTTTTTTCCCTCACTACTCTCAGTTTTAATACATTTAGAAATTAATGGAAAAATGTGGCAATTTTTTGCTTTATATCTTTTGCTAACAAGGTAAAATATCATGAGGATGCCACCTTTGAAATTTGTCATTCTATATCTGACTGAGCAACGGTCATATGCTAATTTCCCCATCAATAAAGCTGTACAGGGGAATTATCATGTTATTCATCCCTCCTTTTTACAATTCCTGTCTGTATTTTTTGGACTTAAAAACTCCACTTGTAATCTTCATTTTTTCTAAAGACATTCTATTTATCATAGCTATTTATCATAGCTATTGCATTGATTCCATCAATAACTGTTCCATGTTCTTTCATCCAGGAATGACTTAGGTGCAATTCGTTTAGAACGTGACAAAATGGCACTAGAAGGAAATTTTGCCAAGGAAAAGCTTGATAGCTTTATGACGGAATTCGAGCATCAGGTATGTTCGTATGGTCTTCACAATGGAAATTCCTATGTGAGGCATTTGACCTCGTCATTTTTATAATATAGAGGGATCAAACAAATGGAGTCTTAGCCAGAAATGTAGAATTGACCCAATTGATAGTTGATTATCAAAGAAAACTTCGGGAGGCTTCAGAATCTGTGCTAATGTCTGAGGAACAGTCGCGGAAGTTCTCTATGGAGGTGAAGATATTCTCTCTTTACTTTACCATCGATACATTTTGTGACAGCCCCGATAATAATTCTATTTCCACAGGTGTCAATATTGGAACGTGAAAAAGAAATTTTAGTAAACTCTGAGAAGAGGGCTTCTGATGAAGTTCGAAGTTTATCAGAGAGAGTTCATCGGCTCCAGGTTGTACTATTTTCAGTTGGACGTTGTCTGTTGCAGGAATAAACTGCTGAACGTACATGTGATTAGTGTTCGAGAGAAATATTGGACACTTGTTTATTTTTATTTTGTTTTCTGCAGTCAACGTTAGATACCATCCAAAGCAGTGACGAAGTTCGCGAGGTATGTGTTGACTGATGCTCGCTTTCTCAAATAACTTTATCCTTGAATTTATTGGAAAACCCATGATATTGACGAGTAAAATATTCAGGATGCGCGGAGGATGGAAAAGATAAGACTTGAGGAGCATGCAAAGCAAATTGAAGTGAGTTTTTTTTATCAACTCAAAGTTAGTTTTTAGAATGTCATTATTGCTTAATCTCCTACATTTCTGTCACAAAAGTGTGAAAAACGAATTGGGCTTTTGTTTATAACATATTTAATTTCCAGCTCCTACAAGCTTACCAAATATTCGAGGAGAACTCTGTAAAATAAAATTTGACTTTTCCTGGTAATTTCAGTTCTTCTTTCGCTTTTTATCCTCATAAATTAATTACGTACTACGGCTCACCATGGGGTGAGGGAGTGTAAAAGGCTATTCGTCGGAATAGAGAGAGGTCTCAATGGCTGTTTTATTGTATTAGAAATGTATGTGACGAGGTATTTTCGCATTATCTCAATTCGTTTTACCTGATTGCCCAGGATGCCTTTCCGAAGATAGTATTTTCAGGAAAAACAAGCTAAGTTTCTCGGCAAATATGGCTTTGGCCTCAGAACAGTTTTGAAGTTTGGGAATATCTTCTTTTTTATTTATTTTTTTGGTTTCTTTTAAAAATCCTGAATGAAGTAAACTGAAAATATATTCTGTAACCTCAAGTTCAATTTCTATGGAAAAATAAAGGAGTCATAACAAATTAGTGGTTAGTGATATGCAAATTATCTTCGACGTAAATGAGTTCTTTGCATTCGGAAGAGTGCCATGGAAATGAGGAATCAGTTGTTTTTCGTTGTACTTATAATAAAAGTCATAATTGAAATGGTACAAGCACCGGTGTGTCCTGACGGTAAAATCAAGATTGCTGGAGAATTCTCTGCAATGGATTAATGATCCTCTGAAGACTACAAGGTATTGTTATTAATCAAGGAGCTGATGAAATAGTATTTTTACTGTTATGGTTATGTATTCTTTCATTAGTTATTTGATGTGTTCAGAATGATGGTGGTCACATGTTGATGGCGGTACTAGCAGTAAGTTAATCGGTTTTTATGCATGTCTAATCTCCTTCTTTACAGAGGGAATGGGCCGAAGCTAAGAAAGAGCTTCAAGAAGAACGTGATCGTGTCCGCAAGTTGACAGGTGAGAGGGAGAAGATACTTGAGAATTCACTGGCTCAAGTTGAAGAAACAAGGAAGCAGTTAGCTGATGCCTGGCGGGCTGTGTCTTCTGCCGAATCAAGGGCCGCAGTGGCTGAGGTCTGTACCCTCTTCCCAACAATGCCCATTTCATTATGTTCTGATAAAGAAACAGTTTCTTATGCTTTGACGAAAATGCAACTAGGCTCGCTGCTCAGATTTGGAGTCTATTGTTAAAGGCCATCAGAAGGTGACTCCTGAACCTGTATTTGCTTATTTTTCATTGCATATTGCAGTTTTCTAAAGCTGATTATTTCTAAGTTGCATTGTTGTCTTCAAATGATTTATGTTCCCTTCAGGAACTATTACATTAGTATGCTTACAGTTGCATGATAGAAGTTTTTGTGTGAGCTTATGCATTTTCTTTTGCCAAAGCTTTTAAAATGATTATCCAGGTACCCTAATCTTTGTGGTTTTAACATCTGATAGCAATATGCATTCATCTCTTTTGTTCTTTACAGTATTTTATGGAGAAATTTAATTTTCCATTGCAACCTTTAGTGTGCTATAGTTAACCACTGAGCTGCGATATGAGATATTCCCTACTGGTGTAATCAATTAAGCTGTAAAGTATATCTCTTTTTTATGCTATTTCGGACATCTATGCTTAACACATCCTCGTGATTAACGTGATTATTTCACTGAGAAAGATAAGCAGTGCCCAATGCTTATGATGATTCAGGATAATTTGAATTGTCTATCTTTGCAGGTTGGACATGACAGCAGAATTGACCTCTCTCTCTCTTCTCCTGATGCTGTATGTATTTTCCATTCATTTCTTTTGATATATAATGTTCCATGGGATTATGTTCATTATTGCCATTTGTTTACATAATATCCTTAATTTAGTTTTTATAGCTTTCTTGTCCTATGATCTCCACTTCATTACCTTTGACTGCTTGAGTTATAGGCTGAAATTGTACATTTTCAAATGGAACTAAGTGATACCATGTGAGATTTCTTTAGATATGTAGGTCAAATGTTGACTAATTACCAACATGTTGGATAAGCATATCATTGCTGTTCCGTTTGACAAAGCAGTGAGGCCAACTGTAATAATATTTTGAAATGCAATATCTTTAATGTGGTATTAATACTGTTAGGTTCCCTTCTTTGTTTTCCAAAGTGGAAGGCGTTCTTGGTGGATATTCGATAGAGAGATCCGTGCAAAGGATTGTTGTGAGATTTTTGTGCATCTTGCCTGTGATTTTACTATTATGGTTAGAAACGTCGTACCAAATTTTTATTGTCCGACTGACTGCGGATTTTAGTCGAATCGTTTTCTTTTATTATTGACCTTATGTGCAGAGCTTTTAGTTTCTGACCTTTTAGTTTTTGGACATATAACCAGACACTTAAAAAGTATATTTATATTTATTGAAGTATTTGAATACCCTACATATCAATACATATGTGTACACAACGATAGTCTTGTAACATATGTCATATGTGGCATTTTCTTTTCAATGAAAAATAAGATGAAAGATGAATCAGATGAAGAGATACCTTTCAAAGATACAATTTGTCCAATATTTTAGACGTCATTACTGGGCTGTACCAATCTGATAAGGGACACCTTCACCGAGAATTGCATATTTTATACAGTAAGGTAAAATAAATGTTCGCCAGAATATGTGATGTTTACTGTATTGGTTTTTTTGTTTACGAATAAGACCATTTTGGGAAGGTGTAAATTAACAATAATGTGTCAATGTGTTATTTTCTGGAATTAGGTTCCAGATAGGACTTACCTGCTGCATCTGTCTGAAACTTAGGCTGATGACTGTTTAATCCGTCAGCAGGAGCTTTAGTTGAAGGCCTTTATTGTGGATGATTTATAACTCCTAGTGCTCTTTACGATTTGCTGAAACAACTCTTTACGCCAACTCCTTATGCTGTCTATAGACTTAACTATTTGTCAAATTCTTGTTTTGAGTATCTCACTCATGCTTGACATGAATTGACGTTCCGTTCAACCAATTCGTTGTGATTCCAAAGTGTAACTTTGTCACTAAACTGGAATCGTATGTTTCTCAGTACAACGTGCTTGCCATGTACCCTTGAATACTTTTTTTGCCAGAAACCCATGCATGGAGTTCATCATGACTGCTTATGAAAAGAATTGAACCAGCTATCTTTTTTAAACAGATGTTTCTACATTTTGCTAGGTTTCAAACGACTTGTGGAAAATGAAAGAAGAAATGAACAGATTGAAGGAAGAAGCACAAGCTAACAAAGACTACATGTTGCAGGTGACAATATTATTTTCAAAAATTGTACTTTCTGCAACGATTTATTTTCTCATATCCGTACTTTTACTGTGGCAGTACAAAGAGATAGCGCACACAAATGAAGTTGCATTGAAGAATATGGAATCTGCTCATGAAGAGTTCAAGGCTGAGGTATGCTTATTCGCTGGGCAATGGTAGTTGTCTGAGGTTTAGAAATATTCATGTTCTTGCGTTGCAACAATCATTTAAACGGATTATCCACCTTGCACCAGGCTGAGAAACATAAGAAGACCCTTGGAGAAGAAATCCTTTCCCTGAGGGAAAGGGTTGCTGAGCTGGAAAAAGATTACATGGTGAAATCCAACGAGGCTTCTTCTGCAGTTTCTGCGAAAGAAGAGGCCCTCAGTTCCGCATCAGCTGAAATTCAGCGATTAAAGCATGAGAATTCTTTAAAAATGTACAATAGTCTATCTGATCTGGTCCCACTGTGTATATTTAACTCTTTTGTTTTCACCTTTAACAAGCTTCAACCGCGTTTACATTTCAAAATAAACTTTGACCAATCTGTAACAGGGCTCAGATTATGGAAATGGAAGTGCAGGTGTCTACATTAAAGCAATCTGTGGAGGAAGAGCATCAACGTTGGCGCAATGCACAGAACAATTACGAAAGACAGGTTTGAGTTTTTATTGATTTCATGCTACTCTGTTTTTGTATAATGTAGTTTTCAATTTTTTGTCATGTTTTTTTCCTTTTAGAATGCATAATAAATGCAACATTAAATCCCCTTGTTATTTTGGTTACGCATGTACTTTTTAAAATTCTAAACAGAAAGAGCTAACAGACATCTTAAATTCTTCTGATACCACTTATTCGATATGATTTATTGTTCTTATTATAGTATTGCTGATCGTTCTTCGTCCTTTACAAATTGGATTGCTTGGTGTGTGAGGCGGCCTACTGTTTAATGGCATAAGATGATTGTAAGATCATAGAAAATGGGAAAAATGAGTAATTTAGTGAATTACGGCGTGAAATGTAACGGAAAAAAATTCTCAGGGATCTTGAAAAGGTTATCTCGAAAGTACGGAATCATTGCAAAATTAACAGCATGTGTTAGTGCGAAAAGAAAAAGTACTGCGTCAATTCAGTTTTTTAGGGGCGGGGGGGGGGCAGCAGGTGTGATATAGTAAATGTAATGATGTTGCTAAATCAATAGATTTGGCATATATTTCTCTTACTTTCTGTAGCTGGTGTGATGCTCTGGACGAGGCCAAACGCCAATTATTACAGGAGCAGCGCCATGCCCATCTTTTATGTCTTGTTTCTTTATGAATTTCTTTTGCCTCAGGTATAATGTGTGAAGGTGAAACCTAGTTTATAAGTCCAAAATAACAGTGCATATACTATCATTAACAGGCCGATAAATATGCAAGTTTAGTTGTATGTACGTGTGTATATTCAAATAGTGATCGTGAATCTTATCATGCTATTTTATCATGAATGCCTGTGTGGCTTTGTCTTATTGGCATTACTCTGTTTTACTGAGGTTGTGTAGGTTATCCTCCTATCTGAGACGATTCAGGAAATGACCAAAACTTCTCAAGCACTTTCTCTGGTTCAAAATGAACTTTCGGAGCTACGCAAGGTTTCAGATGCTCAGAAGGCTGAATATGTATGTCCTGATTCTGAGCTCGGTATAAAGCTTACTAATGAAAATCTACTGCCTAAACCATCCTTTTTAATTTCTTGTTTTCTGTTTTAGCTTATTTTGATTATCTGTCTGACCTTAAAAGGTAAAAGTCTCCTTCAGTTGTTTGTTTTCTGTCTTATGTTTTAGAATTTGAAAGTTCAGACAATATAAAAGAGAACTTGGATATCTTTATTGCTCTGAACTAGGTAGATCTGGTAGGTTGGCAGTGGGAAATTTCTGCATTGTGTAATCTAATCTGACGGGGCATTAAAATCACCAACATCGAAATATAATTCGAGACCGGTCACAATCGTACAGCCTTTGGTACAGTAATTTGACTGTGAAGTTATTTTACTTTTGATAACTCTGCATATTTACTTTTGCAATTATGCTGCAGGAGACTCTAAAGGATTCGTGGGAAGCTGAAAAACTTATGCTGCAGCAATCAAAGAATTTAGCTGAAAAGAAGTATAGTGAGATTGATGAGCAGGTTATTTCTTGCTCGAGTTTCACCATATTTAGTGATTTATAATAATTTTTTATTCTTATATTTATTATTATTATTATTATTGTTATTATATAATTGCTCTCATTCAGATTGTTTTCCTCATGGTTTGCATGAATTTTTTCTTCATTTTGTCTCATCATTTCAAATCATCATGATTGAATGCTAAAATAGGAAAGGAAATGACAAAGTAAAAGGTACATTTCGTGGTGTTTATGGAAATCGGTAGAAAGTAGCATGCACTGAAAGGTCTATAAGGTTTTTTGATGTCCAGTGTAAAGAAGAAATGCCAAGGATGCTGTTGGTTGAATTTTAGGAAGTTGAACAAGAGGAAGTATTGGCATCAATGATTGAATTATTAATAATTCTTAATATAGGAATTATATACAGAGGGTTGATAATGTGGAATTCATTGGGGTGTATTCGTGAGGTAGTTCTGTAGTTGGATACTAAGAGAATGATTGAGGTACTGAAGCAGTCAGATCATTGGAGATCAGATTTCGTAGAAGTTGGTTGAGTAGAATTCTTTTGAAGAAGACAGGAATTCAACCTGAAGCTCATATTGTGGAGTGAGACAACCAGGATGATATCACGTGAGAAATTATACTGTTGTAAAGTTCGAGAATATATAGTTATGCTGGCATTTACTCTTCCCTGGTAAACATGGGGTAAATGACCGAGAGTGATTTACCTCTGCACCTGAATGCATCAAAAATAATTTTAGTAACATTTTGACCAAGTTGCTTACTCGTTGGTTGACCTGAATTGAGACCTTTATGACCTCTGGATTCAATCCTAATTCAGAAAGCATTTTATGAATCCGTTTTGTGGTAGTATAACTAAGGTAAATCAAGAATAAAAGTTCTTGTTTATGTTTGGTGAGGAGTCTGAACTAGACAGCTAACTACCAATCGATTAATTTTTATTCACCTAGGAGCTGATGGAATATATAGCTGTCTTAGTGTTTTATGTTGTCGCCTTGGCAAAAAGCAGCCCAGATGATGAAAGCGTACAGACTTGCAAAGAGAGTGACAGTTGTGTTTACTCTGTCGCGAGGGAATACCGTTTGCATGAATGTCACGCATTGAAGAAAGCAGTCATGCACTTTCATACGCTTTGCCCTATGCAAAGGTGTGAAAATGCACACAACGTCCTGTATACGAATGGACATTTGCCGTTCACAAGCAACTAATCAGCTAAATAGGAACTCTGATTGCATCCAAGTCAGTTACTAATAAAAAAATATTATTCCTTTTTATTATATGTATACTATCCCGAAGTAAGAGAGTCATATTTCAAAGATACATCAAATAGTGTACTATACTTATTTAACTGATGACTGATGTAAAGCTATTCTAATCTCTTTTGTGGACAGTATGTTATTTTTAGAGTAGTATTCTTAATTTATTTTTATTTCAAGATTTTATGTGGTCTATTTGATATTTAATGTATTTCAAAGTGTGTTTCTGTGGATAACCTTGTCTCCTCGGGATAAGGTAGCAGACCACACTCTGATGACTTAAAGAGCCTGGCGTCTTCGTAGTAAACTATATGAAGGGATTTCTTGTAAATAAAGTTTTGGAACTGATTCCTTGAACTTACTTCTTTGAGACACTTTTCAACGTGGTGCTTAAGCATCAAGGTAGTATAAATCTTACCTTTTTAAAGCATATATGTAGTTGTAAAACGTCCCATCTGAACAACCATCAAGACATGCGACATCATAAACTTAAAAATCAGCCTAACTATAGGAGAAGAGCCTGAACATATAGGACGAAGGCCAGAGCCCCAGACATGAGTGACAACAATGAGCTGATTGGTTTTGATGGTAGAGGGCTAACCTCAAGCCTGAGTCTTTTGCAAGATGCACTTGGAGGACTACAATTTTGCATTGTGATGACGGAAGATGTTGGTGGTGATTTTTGAGAGCTAGAGTGCTGTTATCCCTATGCAGAAAAACTTCACATTCTGAGGTATAATTTAGAGTAACATGCGAACAAAGGGAATATTTTTTCCTGGAAATCGGGGATGGTGACTTTTTAAGCAATTTCGACATAGTTGTAGCCCACTTCAAGTTGCAATAAATGCTTTCTGTTATGTGATTTTTTTTCACTTTTTTATTAACGTTTGTTAATTTGTGTGTTTTCAGAATAAAATTTTGCACAATAGATTGGAGTCTATGCATGTCAAATTAGCTGAAGCAGAGCATGTTTCTAGTAGTACTGGTTTCAGAAGTGGCGCATCAGACACTCATGGCGAGAGTGACTTGCAAAACGTTATTAATTACCTCCGCAGATCAAAGGAGATAGTATGTGTTTGATGTGCATTTTCTTGCTACTGTCATTGCAATAAAGCTAGTTTTTATGGGTTTGAAATTTCTGATTTGTTATTTCAGGCAGAAACTGAAATATCATTGCTCAAGCAAGAGAAGCTGAGACTACAATCACAGGTTATATATTTTTGAATTTTGTTCATTGTTTCTCAGAAGGTCTAGTGAAGATCTTGTATTTGGATTTTTTTCACTCAAATGGGAGACTACATTCTTGAGTCTTCAATCATTTACTCTTGATTCCAATTTCTTTTGGATTGAGATTTCTGAATCTAAAATTTTATAAAGTCTAGGCTGTTTCTCGTGTCCAGATGAATTTTTTAATTTGTAATAAAAAGTCTGAAACTTTAGTATTCAAATAAAGTTTATTACATCAGGAAGTTATTGACCTAACTTTCTTCAAAAAATTATCTGAACGATTGTTGATGTTAACGTGTATTGATGAGAAAAGGGGCAATCGTTTTTGCCATATGAATAATTAATTTGGTTGGAGAGTCACCGTAAATTCATTCTATAAGTGTTGTTCCTTGCAATCATGAGGCGAATGAATCAGTGGTTTATACATACTAGCGATATGAGTTCCAGCAACGTGCCCTCAGTCATTGAGTTACTTTTTGCATTGGTGTAGCTTGATTCGGCTTTAAAGGCTTCTGAAGCTGCTCAAGCTTTACTTCGTGCTGAGCGTGAAAGTACACGAACAGCGATGTTCTCAGAAGAGGAGTTCAAATCTCTTCAGCTTCAGGTTGGCTATTATCGGTATGCTTTTAGCTTGTGAGGTTCGGTAATGCTTAAAACTTTTTCTTTTCTGGTTCCAGGTGAGGGAAATTAATTTACTCCGTGAGAGTAATTCACAGCTTCGGGAGGAGAATAAATACAATTTTGAGGAATGTCAGGTTGGCTCACATTGCATGCTTTGAAGCCGCGGGAGCTATGACATCTATAGCATTCACTAGGTTTATTTGGCTAAAAAAATCTTTTTTTATTCCTAGAAACTTCGGGAGACCGCTCAGAAAGCTAATATGGAGGCTGAACAGTTGGGTGCCTTCTTAAGAGACAAAGAAAGTGAGATTGGTCGTTGTCAGAAGGAAATTGAAGTGTTAAAGATAGAGAATGCCCAGTTTGTGGATCAGATAAATGAGGTACGTTGTCAAAGTTGTACAGAGAATTTGCAGCCATTTGACCTTCTGACGTGATTTAAATTTCTTTCAGCTACGTGAAGGTGCCAAAAAGGTTGTTGATTTGGTACTCTATGAGCAACTTAAGGATGAATTTCAGCAAGTTCAGGTAAACGGATGCCTTTTTGAGTCACTTATGTAACTATCCTCCCCACAAAAGAGTTTAATTTGTTCTCAACTTCTTTTGGTGTATACTTCTTCAGCCAAGTCCGCAGCATGTGCCTTCTATATTTCCTATAACCACTTTCCCTAGAAATTCCCAGAAAAAAAATGCAACTTTGGCTTATTTCGTTTCATCCTAGATTTTAGTAGGCCATCCAAAATTGTGTTCCATATGCTAAGAGCAGGCAGAAGTCAATTCGTCCTTGATGCCGAAGAAAAAAGGATAATTCAGGTCTGCTTATACAGACGTGAACTCTTTTTGAATGCTGGATGACGTTCTCTCCCTATTTCGTATTCTTCAGAAAATGATGGATAGATTTCTAATACATTCCTGCTTCGCTTTATTTTGTGCATAATGAAAATTTAAGATACTTAACTAGGCTCCTAATGTCGTCGGACTGTGGCTATACTTGTTTCATGTTTAAATCGGTTGTAGTAGCTGTCTCATTTGTCTAATGTGTTCTTGGGGTGGAATAATCATGGTGATACATTTTGATTTTGCTCCTCAGGTGAAGCTTAGAGAAAAAGACAGTGAGATCGAATCAGTGAAAAATACTATTTCCGAGAAGCAAGAAAGCATTTCCCAATTCCAGCAGGAACTTCTGAAGTGCAAGATGGATTTAGAGGAGCGGGAGAAGAAGATGAGTGAACTTCAGAAATTGGAGGTATTGACCTTATCTTTAGTTTAAATCATCTATCCTTGGAGGCATCTCTCCCAAACTCGATGGGTCACGGTGATTTTAGAAAAAAATATCAATCGACCTGATCATCAGAGAATCAGGTATAGTTATACAAAGTCTCTCTACATTATGGTCTGAAAGTATGGAACTGGCTAACATGTGGCGTACTGGGAGGATTCTCCTCACGGTTTCCACCTCTCTGGGTGTGAAACTTGCAGAATTATCTTGCTTCTTTTCTCATTATGGGTGGATGGATGGATAGATCTACTTGACCATCCCCATTTCACCATACAGGAAACTCGCAGATCGGACATTGAGAAGCAAAAGAAGCTCTCATCTCACTTTAAGGTTGTAAGAACTCTGCTCTGCTTATGTGCGTCTGCTTCTTTCATGTTCTCTACTTTCTGCACATTTGCACTTATTTGCCTGTTTTCTTACTTCGTTTAACAGAAAAGGCTCGAAGCCGTTATGAAGGAGAGGGAAGAACTTAGCAAGGAGAAGCAGTCCCTTCAAGCACAAATTGAAGAATTAAAATCAGGTTTTTCCCTATACCATAAGAAATGAGCTCAATTCATACACTTCATTTACCATTTGAGTTACCTATGGTAGCCAAGAGGATGGTGGGTGAGGGAACAAGCGAGCAGGGCATGAAAGAAAAGGACACCAGAATACAGGTGTGTGTGCCATATACTTATTGGCGACTGTTCTCTCTATGTCCATCAATAATTTCCTAACACCTGAACCAGATGCTGGAGAAGATTCTTGAACGGGAAAGAGAAGATTTGCGAAAGGAGAGGGAAGACAACCGGAAAGAGAAACAAAGGCGGCAAAAAATGGAGACGACTATAGTAGGGACTCTTCGCCATGTTAACCAGGTCAGTTCCTGATGATTTCTATATTTCCTTGTCCTGAATATCAGTGAAAACAGGGGGGGGGGGGGGCTCTCGCGCTATGCTCACATTATTGTGAATCCAGCCGAGAATTTTCACTCATCTACGCCATTATTTTCAGAAGAGAATGAATAAAACAAGATCAATCTCTTCTTCTATATTTGAATTCCGGCTCACTGTAACCTTGAACTCTTCACAGAGGATATGCAATACCTGGCTGATTAGTTAGTGATCCTATATATATACTAATCCATGAACCTTAATAGGTTCACAATAAAATTCACATTATTAAAAGCGGTATATTTAAAATAAATATAACATTAGTTTTACAGCATGATTTCAAAACTCATCAAGAATAGCTAGCTCATGGCTTTCATACAAAAGTGATGGAATGTCATGCTTTCTGAAAAGGTAAAAATCGTCTTACATTTATTCTGTCATGCTGCCTGATTTGTACATGGAAATCAAAACAGGATCATAATTCATTTATACAAACAGGTCAATCACTCTAGAAGTTGAACAACGCCCAACTACATGCCAAAAGAATTCTATAGATTTCTATTTTTCTCTTCAAAGATGTCTGTATTTTATTGTTTAGTTGATGCCAGTTGCAGATCCACTAGCTAAAATGATTGTCTTGGTGCGGACTTCAAAGTTAGATTAGGCGATGTATTTTTTTAATGCTTAAAAACAAACAGATCTGATTTGTTTGTGCCATCAGCTGCGGTTAGCTTCTCTTTTACATTCTTATTCAGGCCGGGATTTCTTGATTTATTCGTCTGTTGATAACAGGAAAGGAAGAAACTTGAAGAAGAGATTGAAAAGCATAGGCAGAGCATAACATCTGTGTTGGAGGTAGTTTATCTTATTCATTTTTATTTACTATGCTTATTTGCATGCATTGTGCCTTGGAGGAAGCTAAGAAAAAAACCCTGAAAAAAGAGGATAAATTGGCATTTTATATGGTTATCGGGGAGTGATGAACTGTAAGAAGGGAAAGATCCATGGGTTTTACTTTAGACGGTCTCATTGCCTGAAGTCGCTGAACAGATAATTATGCTGGAAGGAAGGAATCTTCACACAGAAAATCTAGATACGCAAAATAAAATGGTCTAGGAAGCGAAAGAAGAAAGCATAATTGAATCAAGTCTTCAAGTACCTTAAGTTCGATGGTGAAACTCCGTGCTTCCCCATTCACCAATCAATCATATTTTATATCAATTATAATTCATCATTAACTTAAAGTACGTTCATTGTTAAAGTTCTTGAATAAAGTTAATTCTTCATGAGTAATTCGACTTTATATTAAAGACCCTAGGAACACCCCAGCTTGAATATCTTTTGCCTATATCAGTGCTCTTTTATCTCCTAAGAATTCTTCATGCTGTCCGTGATTTTCTTCCTGTTTGATCCTCAGAGTTCTGGAGTAGCAGCATCTCAGCTTCCTGCTCAGGCCACCATGGATGAACAAGCTGCTGCATACTTTCAAGCTTTCAACCACTTCGAAGAAGTCGCAAGCTCAGCTGTCCATGATAAGCCAAGAGTCTCTCCTCCTCCCAATAACGAACCACCTCCAGACGTCTCTGTAGATGCATCTGCTGCCGGTCTTTATCACATCACACTTCTGTCTGAGTTTCCACTAAGAATCTTCTTTTTCTTTACGAAAATTTGAAAAAAAACAACACTGCATTTCCCTCTCCAGGTCAACCGATGCCAAGTCAGCCACGCACGGTTAGTCAACCGGACAAAGCGGTTGATCAGAGAGAGAGAAGACCCATTGTGCCCAGACCCGCCATTGATGTCCGCAAGAGGAAACTAGTACGACCCAGCCTTGAACAGTCTGACGAGCAGGCGGCCGACATTGAAATGTCGGAGGCAGAGGGATTAGCAGCAGTAGAGAGAGGAAAGCCTGGGGGGGAGTCCCAGGAGCAGCAGGAAGGTCAAGAAACGCTCCCACCGTCGGCGCCGTCGACCTCCACCCGCAAAAGGGTAGCTTCAACTTTGATTTCAGAACAGAGAGATGAAGCCTCCGCCCAGGCAGAGGACTCCACTGCAGCCGCTCCCATTAAAAGGCCGAAATCTTCTGAAGCTTTGGAGGCAGAGATGCTGCCTGAAGGTCTCAGCTCGCCCCCCGTGGAACCTGCAGATGATGCAGGGGTGACTGAGGTGGCTCTCCTGGAGACTGAGATCATCAGCAATTCAGAGGCCCAGGACATGATAATTCCAAAAGATCCAGCACAGAATGATCAAGGAGAGGAACCCTCATCAGGGGGCAGCCTTGAAAGTGAGCTGAAGAACGAAGAGGAGGCCGCCATAGAGGCAGATTTTGAGAAGCCGAAGGAATTGCCGGCATCAATGGAGGAGTTCCCCATTGGCCAGGATGGCCAGACCTCTGCTGAGGTGGAAGGAGAAGAGGATAGAGAGGAGGGGGAATTGCCGCCAGATGCACCTGAGGTAGAGGATGGAGAACTGGAAGCTCAGCCACCGGAGCTCGTCCTTAGTGAAGTTCCCACCACCACTACTACTGCGGCCGGTGAAATCCCTGAAGGAGGAGATGGGCTTGAGATGGGATCCCCTCTTTTGGTTCTAGCTGAAGACAAGATCGACAGTGTGGAAGAACCTGTTGATGCCTCTGAAGAGAAGGCTGATAATGATCCGGGGCAAGGCCTAACTCCTCTGGCTTCACCCGAGCTCCTACCGAGTGTTCTTCTGGAGAGCACCTCGGAGATGGGGGCTTCTGCTTCCTCCTCTGGTGCTCCGGCGACGACCTCCAGTGCCGCCTCTGGAGTTGAGGAAGGGGAGCAGGCGGCAGGAAAGAGCAGGGTAGAAGGGGGAGACCCTCAAAGTGGGAAGGCCGTTTCAGAGGAGGCTGAGCAGCGTGCAACAAGAAGCGGCAGCCGGACAATCATTCTGACAGAGAGGGCCAAGGAGAGGGCTTTGATGAGGCAAGCAGGGATGGGCGTCGCCCGGTCCCCTCCAAGAGGCCGTGGCAGGGCTGTTGGAACCTTCAGGGTATGTTCTAAATCTCTCTCTCTCTCTTCCTCATGGGCTCTAGAGAGAAACATTTTCCCTAGCCAAAAAGAGGGTGGAGCTGGGGCTCTTGCTTTCGCTCAGCTTAGCCATTTGTCTGTTCTCTCTCTCTCTCTATATATTGGCCCGGATGGAGCTTCTATAAATGATATCATTTTTTTTCTGGATTCTGTGTTTGCCCAGTTATTGCTTGATGAACTTCTTCTTCTTCCTTTCTTGTCGCAGAGGGATCTGCGTGGCCCCCGTGGAGGAAGGAGTGGGCGCGGACAGTCTTCTGGTGAGAAAGAGCAAGGCTGAGTCCTTGACCTCGCCAAGCGAGCAAAACATCAGCATCTGTGGTCGTCTGAATCTGGGGACTTCAAGAGTTTGTAAATTTCCCAGTTTCTCACTGCCCCTTCCATCACTGTTTGAACCGATTTTGGATCCTGTCTTGCCTATTATTAGTAAAGTTCTATATTCTTCGCTATTTACCTGCCGAGATGAACTCGTTGACAGAACCAGACCCATTAGACTTGCAGGTTTTGCTATCTTCCAAGGCCTCTGCGTCTACGCCCTTGTGGTTTTTCCCCCCACCGATGTTATTATATGAACCAGTTGCTAGTTTTCCTGCTTGATCTAGGAAATTCTTGTGAGGCACACACGGCTTGTGCTCTGACCTAATTATGCCATATTTAGCAGCACAAGTGTTCTTCGGACAATAAATAATTATAATTCTGGGGTGAAATCTGATCAAGAGAACAAAATAGGAGCATTGCTTCTGTTCAGATTTACCCACTTGGCCTGAAGAGCAGGATCCTGATTCTTGAATGGCACCAATTTATTGCTGAAAATGACGTCAATGGGTCCAAGCTATAAACCCAACTCCGTTGGAATCTATCCGAGGGGAGGAGGAAGATCAGTTCATAGGCCCATCTGGTCTGCAGCTCTGTGCCGTCTTTCCCTCCAGAATTATTGGAACCAGTCGCTAGGTTTCCTTCTTGATTGAGGAAATATTTGTGAGAGGATAAAGAGACCTCTCTCTTGATCCAGTCAGGTTCCACTTATTAAGACTAGCACTCAATTGGGGAAGAAATTAATGTGTTCTTTGATTGGGATCTTAGATCAAAAAAGGCGGAGAAGAATATATTTTCTCACTAAAATCAACTTCATTGTATGAAGAGAAGCTGTCAATCCTTTATCACACAATTTATTTCTAAAATAGGAATGGCTGATTTACTATACCATCAATAATAAAAATCTAGAAATTATTGTACATTATCAAAGTTTTTTGGGGTTTTGTAACAGAAATTATGTGAGCTACTTACTATGTCTACCAAAGGGTACTATCAAAGGGTGAGCTGCGTGAAAGGAGACACGTCCAATCCTTGGGAGAATCATGAGGCATGTTTTGGTCCAATTATTAAGAGAAGTATTACTCTGACATAAATAAAATATTATATTCTTAAGAGGGACTCTAGATCAAGTGAAACGAAAGAGTAGCCATTTTTTTTTACGAAGACCAACCTAATTAATTGTTAATAGAAAATTGCCAACTACTTGTTGAGTCATCTCTTAGATTCGAGCCTAATTTTGGCCAAGGTGAAAATGTACCAATCATTTCCTTTTATCTTTTCTTTTCCTTTTGGAGTGGATTGATCTCAAGCCTTTTGCCCTAGACGGATTCAATCTAGGCCTCTATATGAAGCTATACAAGAGCAAATGGAGGAAGTGAAAATGGGCTTGAATACATAGAATATATTATGTAAATGTGACCCAACTACGATGTCACAACACAATGAATGGGTTTTCTTCAAGCTCATTACTATTTCCATTGTTGAGAGTTGGACCTTTTTTATTTATGAGAGCTGGAACATATGCTTGACGTCTGATTTGATATGACAAGAAAATGTTTTTAAAGGTTGAACCATGAACTGTATGACCTAACATGAATATATCACATTTTTATCTTAATTATGAGTCTAAGAAACCTATAGTTTGGGTCTCCCCTTGTTTTGTGCTGTATGTGCTTCATGTGCAATGTGTTACTATAAATAGTGGATGATAGATTATCAAGCCTATAGAGGAAATGGATGCACAAAGTTCATTAAATTTGCAATCTAGTTGCTTGGATTGATGATGGGTATCAATAAAAGAAAATTGCAAAAATATGGATAAAGAGCTCAAATTGGAAAAAATATTCACATTTCTAATTGTTAGCACTAAGTTCTTCCACTCTAATTAGATTTGCATGCATTAAATAAGAGTATAATTTTGATATCCTATATTTCATAGTTTCCATGGTCTTTTTGGAATCTATGATTTGGTAAAAAGCACACAATGAAACCAGTGATTAATAAATTCAGCTCATTATATTCCAAATTAGTGATTTATTCCAAATTTGAATTATGTATTTTAATGGAAGTTTATTTCTGTAAAGTTGAAATAGGGAAACTTTAACATAAATTTGGAAATATGTAAAAACATTTATGCATTCTTTTGATGGTGATTATTTTAAGGAATGTTTATGTTTTACACTTTGTCATCATTGATCTTTTGATTAATTCTGCCTTACTCATCAGGTCACTCATGTCATAAATTTCCTAGTCATTATACAATCTAGTCTTATTCTTGAATGTTGTCTCACTAGTACACCTTTTAAAAACTCATGAAAGATTATTGAATTCATTTACCTTTTTATGCCATTCAAGGGATTGAAATCCTTAGAAAACATTAATGGAGGTTAGTAGTATGTAGACCTTATTGAAAAATAAAAAATGAAAATAAAACCAAACGTTAAAAATTATTATAGAACTATTTAGCTTGCTCATGTTGGAAATAAATGGAGTGCATGTGGATCCATGATGTAAGATAGGGTAAATAAAAGAATTATCCAGTCTCATATAGGATAGTCATGAAATTCATTACAGATTTGTTCGCCCACCAACAATAATCTCTATTTTGGAAACATGTCATATGAACTTTTTCCATCTTTAAAAACTATCAGTGGACATAATTTATTAATTCATGCTAATTAATCAGCATAAAAGTTTCGATGATTTTAGTTTGACAATGTCTCAAACATGTTCAATGAATACTCTGAATGTTGCGATCTTTAGTGTAGATATTCAATTCCTAAACAACATGAATAAAAAGAATCTTTAAACTGAAAGGAAAATATAGAAGGCAAAGTTGTTGAATAGAGAATATAAGTCCATTGGCTTCTAATTTTTTTAACCTACTAGAGATTTACAGCCAATGTCATTTCTTGAGATTAATTTTATCTAAAAATGAATATATTACCAATGAGATGAACGAAGAAACAATTTCAAGGGGGCAAGAACATGTGTGCGAATCTACTAACCATTGGATGGTTAAGATGCAGGGAATATAGTTAAGAAGAATCCGAATCTCTTCAACCTCTCTCTCTCTCTCTCTCTCTCTTAAAATCATAAAAGATGAAGAGAGGCCATTTATAGTTGATTTTGAGGAAATCCCATGAGTGGAAAGCTCTCAACCAGGTCTTGCATTTTTATCATGATAATCTTGATATTTAAGGGTGGCATTTTGACGAATCTTTCTTCTGTGGTACCTAGAAGAGGTTGTAAAGAGGTGAAGGCATAAAAAGTTGTACATAATAATCTTAATCCATGAACACAAATATGCTTCCATTCATATCTCACTTCCGTTCATATGATTTCTTTCAGTGATTGAATCTAGACATGATCATTATTTGGCATTAATTGATATAACCAGTTCTTGCTAAACTTTCTTGGAGGTAGGGAAGAGACATATCAAGTGTGCTGCAATGTTATAAATTGCAAGGAATTTAAAAGAATGATTATTATCTTCTCCACAAGCTAAGAAAATATTATTATCTTTTCCACCAGCTAGTTTCATGAATAGTCTCAAGAACCTGCATTTTTCCATGAATTTAACAAAAATATTTAATTCTGATTATTACTCCAAAGGCCAATTATAAAAGGACGTGTTTTCAAAATATTTTTTGGCAGAAAATTACAACCGTATCCTCCCATGATATCTTGGCATCATCAACTCAGGATATGTAAATAACACTAAACAGCATATGGTGTCATTAATAATCATCAATTTCACTCTTGCAAGTGATAACATTGCTTATGAGCATTGCAATTCAGAGTACAGGAAGGTTGAACAGGAGCTTTTCACCATTAGCACTACCATTTGACTACATGAGTGATGACGAATACATCGATATCACTGATTTTTTTATAAAAAAAACACATAATAATGAGATACGATTTTCTGTGAATGTTTTCCACCAAATATTTTCCATTTTTGCGAGATTAAATGGTCCCAGTTGATATTGATATTAGTCATGCTACTTTTAACTTTAGCCTTCAAAGAGGCAAATCAATGAGCTAAACTACCTTGGGTTGATGGCAGTCAAATTCCATGATCATTCTTCATAGCTTTCAAAGATCTCTTCCAGAAGATGCTTGACCCCATCATCAGCGAAAATGGAGTCGACAGCGATAAAGGCCAGGTGATGCATCTCCGACTTGGAGAGTTCTTCTCGATTCAAGGTCAGTGAGCAAAAACAAAGTATAAAAGATCAATTCAACGGGAGGTGTATTAAAATAGATTCAATGTTTCCAAATGCGGCGTGTGCCTACCAAAAGTGGACGCAGCAAGGTAGTACTCATTGGAAACACTGGTGGAGAAGAGACCAGGATCATCGGTGCAGAGGATCATTGGGTGGTCAATGCTGTAAAGATCAACTGCAGGGTTTTCCAGAAGAGAATCAACCGAGAAAATAGGCATAGGTGTGCCGAAATGAGTAAAGTCCAATATCTCAGCTCTTCATCGAACGCAAGGAATCAGAGACCTACCAAAATGATGATCCTTAATGGAAGGAACACAGTTCGTTTTGCAGTTAGACGTCAAGCAAATCTCAATCTGCAGAAGAGAAATCGCCCAATAGTCAATTAGGCCGAAGACATGAACAGGAGAGGCAAGTGTGAGATCATTACTGGAATCTTTGAGGCTTTCAGCTTTTGCCAGTCATCCTCATCAAGAAAACAGGCATGGCCTATCCTATCCGGACAGAAGTCAAGTATAGCATTCACTTCTTCCTTGTTAGGCACCTAAAACCGTCGAATAAAGCATAGTTCAAAGATCATAAGAGGGGGGGGGGGGAGAGAGAGTCTGAAGACTACAGAAGCAGAAAAGGAAAACAATTAGAAAGCGTTGACACACCTCTCCACAGTGAATAGTGACTGGGAGACCTTTCTCTCTGGCATACGTCAGTGCTGGCAAGAAGGTTTGCCTGTGACATACATGTATAAATTATAAGAACACACTACCCACATTGTATACAGTATAGAATCATGCTATCCCACTCAAAACAACTCGACGATGAGTGAAGCAGCCCAAAATATCTTTGACTAAAGGATTTAATTGTCCCTTGAAAGGGGAACTGTTCACCCATGCCTGCTAATTTGGGGTTACTTCTCCCCCCCTCCATTGCGCTGTGCCACGAGGACAATGTAACTAGTACAGCCCAGGTAGAACATGGTTCTATGTTACTATGGTAAAGAATTCAATCATTTAGTTCAAAATGAATTGAAAAAAACTAAATGAGGGTTATTTTAACGATAATGTTTAGTTTATCATAAAGGGACTTTCGAAAAAAGCCTATATTTTACTGAATGTTCAGCACGATTAAGTCATACCATTTCCCGATGAGTGGATTACCCGAAAGATCTATCCCAACCACTCCTGAATCTCTCAGCTCCAGTGCCAAATTCACCTGTAAATGGTAAAAAGGGAGTTTAGAACATGTTCCTGCCGAAAGGATTCCACCAAACATACCGTTTCCATTGCAGCAGCAGTGGTTTCTCGACGGTCAATGCTAAGAAGAAGGCGAACACATATCCTTTTCCTTTGTGCACCACAGCCTCTGTTACAGAAAGGCATGCTAGATTTCGCGCTGTTGTCACATTGCTTGCCAAAAGGGGAGGAAACAAGTTCAACCGTGTCTACAGCACTCAAACCATCTAAAACTGCTTTCATATAAGAACGTTTTGTCATCCCTTTGGATTCATTATTCTAGATACAATTCAAAGAGAGAAATATTAGCTTTTTCCAAAGGAATATAAAATTCATCACATAATGTTTGATTTGGCACAAGTTTTATACCTTTGGAGTTGTTCTTAGTTCCAGATAAACAACATTTTCAGCTGCAAAGTCTTCAACAACCTATCTTTAGACGAAAAAAAAAATGCTGAACCCAACCTTTCCAAAACTAAGAAATACATTCAGACCAAACTAGATAATTCAACCCTTCAACATCTACTTACTTCTCTGGTGATCCTTGTGACTGAATTGTGGTCTGTTGCAATTACATGGAACAGATCGAAGAGAATGAAACATTCAGGCAGGGAGCGGCCACCTACAAAAGGTATGATGGGATAAAATGAGGACCTATAACATTCTTTAACGAGATGAAGAAGTGCTCGCATCTTAATGTCACAAAACCTACACGCACTCCAAATTTTTCAAAGAAATCTGGTATGACTTCGTTTTCATCTTATAAGCAAGGCAGAATATCTTAATATGAAAGAAACTGACAACTGAGAGCAGTGAATAACTATTTGTTGCCAGCTTTTAATCCTTGCAGAGTATTCATCCACATTATATTCTAAAATAAGGACCTACATTGATGATTAGACTTTGAAAGTAATGTAGTCTATAATACCTACAAGAAAACAAGAACCATGAGCATTCAAGTTCATACAAACAAGAAAGAACGGGTCAACAGAGTCGGGGTCAAACACCAATGTTAAACCAATAAATCATTTTAGTGTTTTAAGAATGCCACGACTATTGAAAGGTCCCTATTCATTATTGGGGTTCCGTTCAGTGGAAGAATAGGACATGGACCACAAAGTAAAACTAAAGAGCCAGCGCAAAAGGTCTGAGGAAGAAAACAATAAGCACGAATTCCATGAGAGTTGCCTAGATTTGATACAGAGGTAGCCAAATTTGTAAGCACCTAGCCTCACTTGGATTGACGCAGCCATAGGCCAGCCAACTAGCACAATCTCCACGCAGGTGACTAAGTGGGAAGTCTAACATCCTGTTTATTTATAAACTCATGCAAACTTGAGTCTTTTTGGAAACCATAACGTTAAAATGATTAAGAAAAACAAACCATAGATACATATTCAAGTGTAATTATATTTATATATATTCAAAATACACTATGCCATATCCTTTCCATTGCCCTCTTCTTTAAGGAAGACGAGATTATGATGGCTTAAGAAAGATATTACATTTGAAGGTCTGCATAAGAAATACATGAGATTTAAAACACAAAATGCAAAGAGGAGTAGCTGAAGGAAATATCAGATGACAGAGAGTTTAGACTAGAAGTGAGGAAGTGGAAAATTAATAGTCACCTTCCAGATTACAAATTAAGTTATGCGATAGAACTATGTTAGGAATTGCATGAGAAAAGATAAAAATGATTATATTTGAGAAGAAAACACGACGTACTCTTTGTGATAATATGCTCTACGTCCTCAAAAACAATGACGCCTTTTTCACCTAAATCTTTTGCTAGCTCTCTGTAATAAGAAATCAGAGAATTCAATGAGTTAGAATCTGCTGATTGAAGACTGACAAGTTTACTCCCACAGAAAAATTACACAGACATGAAGAAAATACATGAAGTTTACTATCAAGGATTGACAAGGTGTAGAACATACATGAAGAAATATTTGCATCCCCTTATTCTTTCAATCTAACTTGGTCCATTCTGATTACGAGATTCAAGTGAAGAGAAAGCGAGATTCTGGAATGCGCCATTATGGAATGAGAACACAAAAAAACACACTACATTAAATTCTGCCACCATCTACCAATTTATTTTTCTGTACCCATGATAAATGGCTCTATGAAGGATTATGTCAATTTAAGCTAAAATTATCCCCGCTGTCTCCTGATGACTAATACGCCATAGTGCTGGCAAAAAATGAAAATTGCATCAGAACTGACTAACAATCATAAGGTCCTACCCATCTCCTGGGTTGGTAGTCAGGTCCATTTTTGGAACCAAAATTCCTGATGAGATAGTAATCTTGCCAGACAATAGTTTTTCTGGAACCAAAATTCCAGTATACTACTGTAATATCCAGGTGAGATCTATGAATTTAAGATGAGCCCAGACAATAGTTTCTCCAAATGAAGAGCTTTAATAATTAGATTCTTCAACCACTGTATCAAGACTGCCTACCATTTATGTGATGAGGTGCATTTTTAGTGAGCACACAGACTGCCAGAGCTTCTCTACCGTTGTGCCTAGTTTTGGAAGTGATTCATAATTTCCAGAAAAGGATTGAACATAGACAAATATTGAGCACTAAAAAAATGACGATATACAGGATAAATGAATGAACATGATTCAAAATAATTTTTTATTCCCCTCTTTTATTTCATTTATGACAGCACAATGATGAAACACGAACTCAAATCTTTTTGAAGCAATTTGGGTTTCCGACTGAAGTTTTGACCCCCACTGAAGGGTACAGTGAGCCTATTTTTTTCTGATCCTAGGACCAGGAGATAACTTTAGGTATTGATTCCGTTATCACAAATTTTTTCCCATTATTAAAATTAGGTAATAAAGATAAAACACAAGCGTCTTGTATGCCAATAGTAATCAGTCCTTTCTTGTTTCAACATCTATCATATAAAAGATTCACAAGTCTCCACGCCTAAACCCTCAGACTAGTTAATGATGCTTGCCAGTTTCCATACATAGTAAGCTCCTCATCAGCTTCTCCCTTTCGAATCACACTGGTCTCCAAATATGGGATTCTTATCACGACAATCAGCAATACACCTGGAATAGACTAGGAAAGCTTGTCCTCTGATATATTAACACACTCCATTTCAGATTTATGGATTCTATCTCAAGTCACCAGGTTACATTTCCTAATTGGGAGAACAAATATTGCCATGAGTAAGCCATCTTCATGTTCTGTTTCACTGTGCTCATAGAGTCCATCTCATTTAATGTCCACAGTAATATCACAAGTAAATAATGGTTTCAGAAAATCCACTTCAATCGTTCCTGAGTCATCAACCTAAAAAACCTAGTCCACACATGAAACAATCTGAGTAAAGATGAGTATTATTATTGATATAGCATCCATAACCACGTCTTCTTTTTTAACCTCCTGACTCGCCAGATACCTTTGTCAAAAAAGATTTTGGATATTAGCATTTTTGTGATTGGGGAAACAAATCAACACACGGTCCGCTGACTTTTGGACATATGATACAAATAGAAGGAAAATAATTTATCGAACAAAAGGAAGAAACGACGGATAATGGTAAATGGGGCCCTACGAAAAAAAGAAAAAATCCCCCCCAAATCAGCACCCATGATAGATTGTCTCTACACGGAAACTATATAGAAACATTAGTTATATGACAAAGAGGCGACTCCCAATGACTCCTCGCCCAGGATCCCAAATCCTTCGGCTATCAGTTCACGGCTCCTTGGGGTAAAACGGCAGGAATATCATGTTCAAAAAGCATATACACAAACACAGAAAGCACTCAGGAATATCATGTTCAAAAAGATAGAGCTCTGCTCTCTCGAGCAACACCACCGGCGACACTGGACAACAGCCCAAGGCCGCCCGCCGAGCAGAGACTGGATGACTAAAGAAGAACAAGGAAGGAGAAACGCAAGGACTAGGGCCGCCCACAGGAGTGTGGATTCCCTTATGGAGCCATTGAGGTGAGCGTGGAGCTCTATCTTCGGGTGGGCGCGGCACCAAGCCTTCATGTCCTCCCCCGCCGCATCTCCAGCGCCGTCCATTCCCCCTCCTCTCTCCAACACACAACCTTCCTCCCTTTCCTCCCCTTCCTCCCCGCCCTCCTTCCTACGCCGCAGCGCCACCAGGAACTCCCCGGAATATTCCTCGTCGGAGCAACCACCGCGGTGGGGAGCCGAATTTTAAACCGCAGAGACCGGCAGCTGCAACTGTTGCAGACTTGCCATTTCGAGTCCTACGGCTAGATCCATTCATCCTTCTCCTTCCTTCCAGCATTCCTATTGGTCCACGTGGAAGCGGATCAGGAAACAACCCAACTACCGCGACTCTCCTTGTTTACACAAAAATAGCATTTTCTGCGCTAATTCCGCCCGACTGGCTCTTCCCCTACTGTGGGCCTCAACAAGTAGGCCCAATAGAGGCAACAGATTCGGCCCATTAGAGATGTAGATTTACGACTTGCCTATAATTTATTTATGTATTTCTTGTCGGACCTTGAATCTTTCGTAATTTTGGAGTTAGACCAGTCCCAGCCTTCAGCCCAATTTCCGGGCTTTCTTCTGGGCCCGTCTTGGTTAGGTCCGACCCCAATAGCCCGCTCCTGAGCTGGGCAGGGCTTTTTCTTCGGGGTAAAAAAACTTGCCCACAATGATCAACAAACCCTTCCCTAGATGAAAACCACTCAAGGAGACGGAGGAGGTCCTCAGCTCGTTATTTGCTCAGAGATCACGGAGATTCTGGAGGAGGAATCAACGGCCGAGATTAGACCGCGGGCGGGCCCCATCATGGGCCGCCATTTCGGCCCCTACACGTAGCATGAGGGCGCAGACGGGGTCTTCTCCGGCGCCGGCGAGGTACCCGTCGACAGTGGCCTTGACGCCCTTCCATATCTGCTCCTCCCCGTGGGAGTCCATCCACAGCGAGTACTGCAGCGGCGTGAGGTCGCTCCTCTCCGCCGGCGACTGAAGCCCGCGCGGGCCCCGCGAGTAGAGGTGGTGCAGCACGGCGCTCGCCGGAAGCTCCTGCAGCAGCGGCGAGCCCGCGAGGAGCGCCGTGTCGAGGAAGATCAGCCGCCGCAGAGCGCGCAGCGCGCGGTACGGCGCGCCGAGCTGCTCCACCGGTAGGAGGTTCTGCCCCACGGCGAGCTCCAGCTCCGCCATGTCCCGCGCCAGCCGCAGCTTGCCGGCCTCCGAGAGCGGCCGTACCAGCGCGGCGTGGCGGACGAAGAAGACGAGCACGCGGACGGCCATGCGCCGCACCAGCGCGGCGCAGAGCGAGTCCCCGCGCAGGCGGGAGAGGAACTCCGCTCGCAAGTGGGCGGCGCTGCGCTGCAGCTCCTCGATGTAGCTTGAGGGGCCGTCCTCCGCCGCCGTGCCGCCGGCGAAGTCCTGGTCGTGGATTTTGAGGATAGAGGACTCGAGGCGGTCGAGCATGGCCTGGAACAGCGGCGCCACCGACTCGCCGGCGACGCCGTAGATGGTGCCCAGGGAGGGGGACAGCACGTCGGCAGCGGCAGCCGGCAGGTCGGCGGTGGCGGCGGAGACGCCGGCGTGGACCTCCTGCAGGTGGTGGCAGAGGGCGAAGTTCTTGAGCTGCGCAGCAGTCGCCGGCCCGGTCACCTGCCGGGCTTCCGCTCCGGCGGAGATCTGACGACAATGGAGACTGATTAATTCGACCAACCATGCAGAAGATGATCAACCACGTACATAAATAAACAAATAAATAAATAAATAAAAATCAAGGAGAAAGAGAGAACATAGAAAAAAAAAAACGGCGAAAATTATATTTACGTTAGAAAAAAAAGGGAAAGAAAAGCAATGTTGTACCTGATATTCAACCCTTTCAGCCAAAAGGAGCAAGACCTTGTTGACCTCGTGAAGAACCAGAAGCATCAAAGGGCCATGGAATCTGACAGCCTCTATCTCCTCCTGGATGAGGGATACGATTCTGGAGATCTGGTCCTTGCTGGGGATGGTTCCCCGGCTGTTCATGGGAAATATGTTGTTGACATATGCCGATAACCGCCTCAAACAGCTGCCCAGAAAAGCCATCTGGAATGCCCCAATGGCGTTGACCATCTGCTCTCTCCCCTCCGGGCTAAGAGCAGGAAGAACACCTTTGACATTCGTATCCCGCAGAATTCTTTCGAGGAGGTTCTCGACCATGGAGAAGAGCTTCGGGTACCCGTTGGTCAACACCTCCTTGACGAAGCTGGATGCGGTGAAGGCGGACTCCATTTGCCTAGCAAAGGACTTCATGACGGCTTCCCATACTCGATCTGTGAGCAGCGGACTGCCCTCCTGGAGAGAGATTTTCCCCCATTTAGAAAATAAAATAAAATAAAATAAATCTAAAGAACAGATTATGGGATGGTGAAGAACGATGAAGAAATAAACTTCGAGAAAGGTTTTGATAAATGTGCATGATCTAGACCATGCATGTGGCCTTAAGAAGAAGAGAGAAGAAGAGATACACGTGGCAATACAGATGGGCCCGAAGAAGAGAGAAGAGGTGAATCAAGAACAGATGTCCACATAAAATTTTCATAAAGAATGAAATATCAACGTATGTCATCATTCTTCTATCGATCATAATACTTATATAAGACAATAAAAATTATATAAAGTTTTCAAAGACTGAAAAACGATACAGCGTATTAAAACAACAGGATCAAAACACATAAACATAAGGAAAACAGGATATGTAACACAAGACCAACCAGAAACTGGTCACCGAATTCATCCAGTGGGAAAATAAATGAAAAACAGAAAACCCATTTGGAAAAAAATGTTCTTCCTTTCTTGAATCCCTTGCAAAACATTGATGGCTGGAAGCAGCCAACTTCGATTCCAATTAGGGCATTGTCCTGAAATTACTCAACTATTGATGGATAAGCCAGAAATCAGCTGATTTGAGAATTGGGCCCGATTACTCTTCGTTGCTCTGGTTTGGAGCCCGGAACTGCTCTGGCCTCTGAGTCTGATTCTGAGCACCATAATTCCGCATCCCAAACCTTTAATTATTTCTAATGCCCAATCCTCTGGACCATTGAATAGCATTGTAAACAATAGATCACAAGCCTCCGAGGACACTGCCCAAAAACTTCCAGCATGGCTTGTTTTTTTTCCTTTTGAGTTTAAGCTCAAAATTATCTTGCCCTGTTCGACCTTTTTCTTGGCGATTTTCTCTAACAATCGCTACAATTTTGATGCATCGTCAAATTAACTATGTATGAAAGTCCTGTTGAACTAGACGTAGCCAGATGGATGGACACAGTTCGTCCATACATACTTGATAAAGTTCAGAGAATTCAAGTCCCCTTGAATGGCGTAACCTAGAAGTTCTCAGAGGAAAACGGAAAACTAATCTTCTCTGTAGGAAAGAACTTATACTATGATGACAGTAAAAAGATACTGTCGTATTGCATATAGTTTTTGAAAGCTGGAATGCAAAGTATTTCCTAAGAACTACAAAAAAACAAAACATTCCATCAGGCGTGTGGCTTGACATTTAAAACTGAATCCCGGATTCCTGAATTAACATGCCATGTAACTATCTTTCATTCCTCCAACCTAATTGCCAAATATAAGGGTGTCATGTATGTACGACTAGCAAGGCATCGTAAATAAATCCATGCAAATCTTATCACTTTCGAGAGCCCTCCAACATTTGAGTTGCTCTCTGCATTCATCAGACTTCGCTTACATCCAAATAACTCTTTCCTGTCCATTTTTATGCCTAGGATACGTTGTTCTCTTACCTAACACAGAGAAAAAGGCCCGATTAAGACATTGTACACAGTTTTCATCCCCCAGTGTACTGTTCATTGATTTCATTCAATGGTTCCATGACTCCTTTTCCAAGCCCGCAGAAAAGGACACTATGTCCATAAGACAAAGAATACCAATAAGGAAGCAGAGGACGAAATAAAATTCTTTAATCCACATTTCGAGCATACTCCAACGAAAATCATCAAATTTCTTCAGAATGTTTGCATCTTTCTTGAAGTTCCTAAGTCAGGTTCCTAACTCAAAGACTATTGCTACACACACTAGATGAATGATATACTTCAATGTTAACTCTTTACGAAATCTCAGCTTCAAAAATTTTGAGATTTTAAAACATCGTACTTAATTGAATGGTTCCACGACCCCTTTCCAAGGCCGCACAATAGGATAATATGTCCATACTTCAGACAAAGAATCGCAATAAGAAAGCAGAGGATGAAATAAAATTCTCTAAAACATCGTATGATTTTTCCAACACTAGGAAAAAAATTCCAAACGAAGTTTCTGAAGGATATATGATCAAATTTATCTTTCATAGTTAATATATTTTAAACAGTAACACAAAAATATAATTTTTCAAATACCAATATGCTAGCCTGATTCCATAGACGAATAATCAAGATCTTTAAATAGTAAAAATAAATATTCCATGATGCGAAAAGTTCTAGAGACAGTAAACCAACGAAGGTAAATGATAAAGAATAACTCCAGAGATTCCAACAACAAGAAAAGAGTTAAGATGGAGGGTCAATCAACTAGACTTCGAAATTCATATCTGCAGCAGAAGGCAAAAATGCTTATAATAGTCAGAGCTCTCACCTCCCAAACTTCGTGTAGGAAGGAGACATGGGTGAAAGGAACACGCTTCCTTGACAGCACAGTTTGCAGCTGCCAGACAGCCGTAACCACCTTGTGTAGCTCCTCCATAGACTTGCCCATCCTCTCCCACAGTGCTTCTCCAGCCCTCTTCCCGCTTCCAATCTGCGGCGTTCCACTCCGCTGGACTCCACCAGGACCAGAACCTCCTGCCGTGGAAGCTGAGATAGCCTTCATGTCTAAGGCTGTACTGACGCTCTTGATGCCCAGACCCTTGTACTTGTTAACCAGTGCATCCACGGTTGACCTCAATTCCCCGAGATTGTAGAACACCTGAAGTCCACACCATATGTCATTAGGGTTTGACTCCTCCATCCCCCTCTCCACTGCCCGCATCGCCTCCGATCTCAACTTGATCCCGATCTCTGACAACCATTTCATCTCCTCATCGACAGCGGAGATGCCTTTCAACCCGCATTCCTCATGGATGAGCTCAATCTCGCGGTGCATCTCGGCCGCCTTGGCCAGATCCAGCCTCTCCGGATGCTCCAACCCGGTGGCCATCAGATCTCGGAGTCTCCTTGACTGCCGCAGCAGCTTGAACGTGGACTGAAGTAGGTTGGCGGTGTGGTGAAGGTTCGAAAGCTGCAAAGTGTGCGACTGCAGCTGGCGGCGGGGATCGCTGATCTCGAGCCGCACCCGCCGGAGAGAGGACTGGAGGGAGGAGACCCCGGAGCGGACCGTGGAGAGGGCGGACTCGGCGTCCCGCAGGGAGGACAGCTGAGACAGGAGATCGTCGTGGCGGGAGAGGACCTCAGATCGGAGCTGCTGCTCCAGCTGGCGAATCCCATCCTGGAGGTGCTCCGCGCGGGCGGCGGCGGAGTTGGACGTGAGGGCCTGGGAGCAGAACCGGGAGGAGTCGAAATCCGGGGACAAAAATGCGGAGAACACGGGATCCGCCACGAAAGAATCAAGCGGCGATGACCCGCGGGTGGCGGCGAACGAAGGTGGCGGAGGGCTCCCAGAGGGCTTGTCCTTGAAGGTCGCCAGTTTCTGGATCGTAGAAGGAGGCAGAACCTTCGGAGACGCCATGGGCACCAACGAGAAGATTCCCAGGATCACCTCCCCCTACAACGGACGATGCATCGGAGGCGACAAAGCCGAAGGGAAGGGAAGGAGGAAGAGGAAATTCAGGGTTTGCCGGAGGTGATCGCCACTGGTTCTTCGCTGAAGAGGGAGGAAGGGGTTGGGATCTGTCGAAGATCTGGTGAGCACGGGGAAGAAGAATGGGAAAGAAGGAGGCAGCCCAATAACATCATAACTTGAAGCCCAATAATGATCCCGGCCCATTTTCATAATCGCCCTACGGCATAGCTACAAAATAATGTTTTGAACCGAAATGTAAATTCATCAAGGGCTCTTAATGGGCTAGACAATGATGAGACCGGCCCAAATATCATGTGGTGACAAAGCTGTCCACGTGTCTGCCACGTGGAATACAACTTATCATGGAATAATATCCTCAACCACGTTTTTTTCCCATTTTTCAAATTGTGATGAGAATAGTTATACTCTCACATTTTTTATCTGGAAAATAAATTTAAATTACATCATAAAAAATATTAAAAAATAATTTTACTCTAATAATAATACCCAATAAATAAAAATATATATCGTCAAAACGTAAAAAATTATTTAGTTAAAAATAATTTTTTGGGTTTTATGATAAATATAAATAAATATATAATATTGCAATCAGATATCTTAAAATTGCTGAGAGAGAGAGAGAGAGAGAAAGAAGGAAATGAGCTTGGAACCAGTTTTTTTTTAAAATATTTTTTAAGTTTTTAAGGGGGTTGGATGTTGAACGATTTTTTTAAAAAAGATTGGTTTATTGGGCCCCTGATGGTCAGCCCATTGGGCCGGAGTACGCGGCTGCGTTTATCTGACTCGTAAGAGAAACTGAAGAGCGCGACCGATAAATCGCGATCAGAGAGGGAAAGGAGACAAGGCAGCGCTCGCTGAGAATCCATGTTCTTTTCTCTGGCCCCGCAACTCCTCCGCCGCCGCCGCCACGTTGTCGCCGCCGCCGCCGCCGCCGCCGCCGCCGCCCTCAATCGGCGGCTCCCGCCTCATGGCTAGTCGCCCGAAGCCCTAGCAGCGACCTAGCCGGAGCTCCAATTCAGCCCTTTGCTCCAATTCTGCGGGAGCTCGAGTCTGTCCCCTCTCTCACGAAATGGAAGGAGGGAGGTTCATGCCCTCTCGGGAGAGCGCTAACCCTAGGGGACTAGGGTTCCCCGCTAGCCGTCCCCAGCGGCCCGCTCGGGATTCTATGCTCTCCGTGGGGACGACGGAGCAGCAGCCAGGGCAGCAGAGGCTTGCCCCGCCGATCTTGGACCGGTTCCGTGCCCTCCTGCGTGAGAGAGCGGAGGAGGCGAGGACAGCGATCGGAGACGCTGAGGCTGCCTCCCCGTCCCCCACGGCGGAGGAGATCGTATCGTTCTATGAGGCGGTCCTCTCGGAGCTCACATTCAATTCGAAGCCTATTATCACGGAGCTTACTATTATCGCTGGGGAGCAGCGGGACCTCGCTGAGGGCATCGCCAACGCCATCTGCGACCGTATCCTCGAGGTTAGCTCTGATTCACGAATTTGGTTGCTCCTTCTAGTCCTAGTTTCTCGTGGAATGAAATATTTTGTGTTTATTTTCTCGCAACAGGAAATTTATATCCATCTATTTGAAAAAGCAGAATACGTGCCAAGTAACCCCGCATTGTTTTGTAAATGCTACTCCCTTCTGTGGTTTTCACTGTCTTTTGGGCTTATGGTAGCATTCATATCTTGGCCGCCCATGGACCGTGAATTAGGCAATACCCAGCCGGGTTTTTTTGTCTGGTGCCCTATTCAATTACAAGCAGCAGGCAATTTCAGGATTTTCTTTTCTTTCCCTTACCCGTCTTCCCAGCATTTCCAGTCCTCTGTGACCGAAATGTGTTTAATGTGTGCTTGAACCACGGATAAATTATCATGACCATGGTCTTTGTTAATATGTATCTATTAATTTGATTTCACTTTGCTTGATGCAGGTCCCTGTTGATCAAAAGCTACCCTCGTTGTATCTTTTAGACAGCATTGTAAAGAACATTGGGCGGGACTATATGAGGTGGTTTGCGGCTCGACTACCAGTGGTGTGTTCATAAAATAGGGATTCTTTGCTTTTCCTTTTCTTTCTGCGAAGTAAAATGTGATTGATGTTGAAACAAAGAGAAGAATGCCCATGTGCCTTTTTTTTCCAGTTTCTAATTTTTTATTCATTTTTATGTAGAAGGTGAAATCAGTGTCTTGTTATTGATGAAACAGAAAATTTTATTATTGTGATGGTTCTTTCCTCATCTTATTATTCTATCAAACTTTAATCTTTTTTTTTTCTGACTTCATCGTGTGCTGAATCTTTCTGGATTAATTTTATTCTAGTGATGGAGTATTCCAATTTTCTGACAATACTTTCTGCCATGGCTGCATTGTTTCTTTTGTGTTGTGCTGAAATTCCTTCTGTTATGTATTGCAAGGTGTTTGTTGAGGCGTACAACCAAGTACCTACAAGCCAGCGCCCTGCAATGCAGCACCTCTTTGGAACATGGTCACATGTTTTTCCTTCTTCTTTGCTCCAAAAAATTGCAGATGAGCTGGAATTTCCCAGACCCGAGAGCCAAAAACATTCTGGTCTGGTAAATGTCAAACAATCCGAATCATTGTCTCCCCTTCCTGCTCATGGAATTCATGTTAATCCAAAATATCTTGAAGCACAACGTCAGTTTGAACATTCTTCTGTGGTAAATTCCAATTCCATTCTATCTCTTACAACATATGTTTTCATGTGTTTGTAAATGGGGAGGCATATGCCTTCACTTAGGATAATAGAAAAGGACTGTAAGGGTCTATTGATTTGATGTTTGAGTCATAAGTGAATGAAGAACAGCACAGAATGCTGCATTTCCTATGTCATCAAAGATTAAAATAAAAAACTCTTTCTTTTTCACTTTTTCTTGAATGCTAGAATTTTTTTTCCAAGGAATTCTGTAACTTTTTGCAAGTGATGTTTGCTTTGCTGAGGTCTCAGAAGAAAATATTAAAAAATTGAACCGATTATATGGTATCAAATATCCTTGAGATGTTTGAAATTACTAAAACTATTACTCATGCATCTTCACCTTTAGGCAGCATATGTGCTGATGTTGCTGTGTGTTTTTCACATCACCAGGACCTTCAACGTGTGAAGGTTGTGCCTTCCAATTTACAAATCTTTGATGAGAGATCTTCCATGCAGTATGGTGACTATGATTTCGATCACCCTGAGTCACTTCCTCCACACCGTGGGCATCCCAGAAGAGGCTCTCCACAGATGGTGCCAGAGCATGCACCATCTGCAAGTGGAACTGAAAACCCCCTGGCGGTGTCAAAAAGGATACTGAGAGCTGATTTAGTAGGATCTGCATCACCACCAAGTGATGGCTTCCATAGGGATATATCACCTGGGAGAGGTGTTGAAAGAGCCTCCCCACACAATTTGGGATTTGGATCTGCACAAGTCAGAACAACTAACAGGAGTGATTGGTGGGAAAGGAATAGAAGCATTGCTGCCGCACAGCCAGAAGGTCCCGAACTGTACAAAATCCAGAATGGCTTTGGCAGACAGCAGCCACGGGGCCTGATTGATCCTTATGGAAATTACCGAGGGAAAGGCACATCAGATGACAAGCCTGCAAAGGTCCAACGGCTTGATGTTAATGGAAGATACAGTGAGGTTGGCACTCGAAACTGGCAGAATACGGAAGAAGAGGAGTATGACTGGAAAGATATGAGCCCCGTACTGCCTGACAGAAGCCGAAGTGGCAGGCCAATGTTTGATTCCGGTATTGAGAGGCCGGGCCTAAAGTCAAATGCTGGACTTTTGGAATCAGAGTTCAGGGCCAACTGGCACGGACAGGCTCCATTTCCTCCAATTGATGACGAAGCTGCAGTCGAAGAGAGAGTTCCTTTTGCTGGTGTATGTTTTCCCCACTTCTCAGCCTTTTTTCCCTGTTCTGCAACAAGCTCCTTTCGCATCATGAAATAGACTTGTAAAACGTTGAATTTTTCGTACTTCATCTTGTCTGTATCATCATTATTTGGGTGGCAGAATTACGTAAATGTCTATATTGACTTTCTGACGCCTGATACTGCTTTAGACTCACGAATCTGTTTTCATTCTCTGCACTCACGGACAGAATGTATTTTAATTTTGCAGTTTGAGCATGGATCAATGGATAGAAGGCCCCTGATTGGTGCAGGAAGGAATGAACTGACTCACTATCAAGCTTCTTCCCATTATCTACGGGACCCTTGGAAGCTGCATCCATCTCAGCCAGGTCTCAGCCCAAGATCAAGAGGAAGAGCAATGCAAATTCCCCTTCCTATGATGGGTCATAAACTAGCTTCTCCTTATCATAAAGGACAAGGATCTGATGTAGACTACTTCGAAATGGATGCCCTTTCAGCTGCATCATCGTCTGAAGGAACAGAGAATCGTCTGAGAAAAAGGGCACGTTCGCCTCATGCTACTCCGACCACATGGCCTCAAATCCCTAAACCTCTCCCTCCTATTGGCGTGCAGCAGAAGCAATTGAGAAGTAGATTCGATTCTGTTGATGGTGGAGGGACGCTGGTAAGTGATTCCAATACACCAAGTTGGTCCCATTCTCAGAACATAAAATCCTTTAATTTTATTGTTCTGCCTCCGATGCCTTACCAGTACTCTGGTTTGATTTCTCTGAATCAGCAAAGAAATAAACGAGCTAGTCTGATGGGGCCACAATCTCAGGAGACTCATGAAAAAGTAACCCCATCCCCAACTCCTCCACTCAGATATCATCACTTTTATTTGCCCAACATCTGACTCCTATGCAATCACAGGGACAACGTTCATTAAACTCAATGCTGCCGAAGCCATCATTAGGTATATCTCCATCTCATGCGATTCGTGATGTAGTCAGTCCCTCTGCATACATTCATGGTGGTGTTTTGCCTCCTCTACTACCTCCAGGGGCTCCCTCTGTGCCATTGGATGTGGGAGGTCTGCCACGTGCCGGTTCCATCATGCCCAATGCACCTACTCTTCCACTCTCAGGTTTAATAACCTCTCTTGTAGCACAAGGTCTGATATCATTGCCGCCGGCAACCTCATCTGAGGTACTCGTCTGTGAATTCCTGATTTCATTTTATTTTTAAATCCATTGTGCTGCATCAAGTCTCATCTTTCTCAACCTAACATCATGGTTTTGACAGGACTCGGTTGGCATTGAGTTTAATGTGGATCTTCTCAAAGTTCGGCATGAGTCTGCAATATATGCTCTGTATCGTGATCTCCCCAGGCAGTGTACAACATGTGGGCTGCGTTTTCAACAACAGGAAGATCATAGCAATCACATGGACTGGCATGTTGCCAAGAATCGGTTATCTAAAATCCGTAAGCAGAAGCCATCCCGTAGATGGTTTGTTAGCCTCAAGGAATGGCTAAGTGGGACTGAAGCATTACCCCCAGATGCTGTTCCTGGGTTTTTGCCATCTGAAGCAGTTACCGAAAAAACAGAAGAGAAAGAATTTGCTGTTCCTGCAGATGAAGATCAGAAGGTGTGCTATCTATGTGGGGAAACTTTTGAGGAATTCTATAGTCATGAGCATGAAGAATGGATGTATAGAGGAGCAGTATACTTGAATGCACTAGATGGATTGATGGAGGGCATGGACAGTAACCAGTTAGGTCCTATAGTTCATGCTAAGTGTAGGACTGATTCTGCAACAGATCACGGGCAAGCATAATGGGTAAGTTAATCTCATGATTTGAATATTACGGGAGGTTCTTTATCTGATGTTTTCTCTGGTCCTTCGCCAGTGAAGTCCGTGAACTTCTTTGTGGTCAAAAACATTAAATTAATCTGATCGAGTCATGCCTCGTCTGAACAAATCAATTAATTTGTGCTGATAAACTCATTTAGAATTTGATCCTTCATGACAAAAGAAAGCTTTTAACCTTTTTTCTTCTGCATCTATATCTAGTTCGAACGAAATCATTCAGAATTGGGAAAACATTTCAGTCAAGTACTTGTAAAGGAAAGATTATTGGATTAATCTGAAGATTTCCATAAAATTATTGCTTGCTTTCCTTCATGATAACTCAGGATCTGATTCCATAGTGGTGAGAGTTCTTATCAGAAAATGTTCTGATGGGCACAGTCCCCAAAGTGATGTGTATCGGAAAGCATAAACACCATTGAACAAAACCTATCTTCATTCTACCCTGACTCCTGAGGTATCCAACTCGAAATGTGAGCATGCCTATGAAAAATCTTTGGAAGGAGCATAGAAAGGGCAAAGGATTGATTGCATTCGAGTTTAAGTAAATCATTGTTAGAGATCTTTAGTTTCGTGAGACATTTGGATCCAAATTTTGTTGTCATCACAATCTGATGCATAACTAACGATCTAGCATGATTTTGAGAAAAACCTGATGAGTTGAAGTTGAGTCTCTTTCCGATAATAGCATTGTTTTACATACTTTTCAGGATATCTGAGCTCTTACGATTGTTTGGTTTTGTTCAAACTGCAATTAGACCTGTTCCGTCAAAGGTTGTTGTAAAATGGAAAGCGGAGAATTTCAAGTTAATGGTTGTTTGAATCATCTTTATCACCATAATCGTCATGAGCTTAATCACAATAATCTGGGTTCAATGTGATCCAACAAAGGATTGAAAGATTTAAGAAATTCTCATGACCGGATGCTTATCTGGGACTGAACCTCTATAAAGTGGCTCCAATTACGTCCTACATAAGTTTTGGAGAAAATAGGGGCGATGGAAATGTCTCGTATGGTCAATTGGTGGATGAAAAGTTACTTGTTTGGTTGTTCTGTAACTCACATAATCTGGAACAATAACCATAAGTATGCTCTACACTCTAGGAAGAGTCTAGGCATTGACGAATGGTATAAATTCGGTATAGAATCTCCAGATCTTCTGGGGAACTATTAGTCATTTTTCCACTAGGTTAACACATCTCATATCATCATATTTAGCCTAGGTTGTGCATGGAAAGAGTATCATGGAGTGAGGGTGAGGCACCCAGGGGAAGAAGATCCTTTCATGGAATTGCCAGGGGGGGGGGGCTGAAGAATGATTGGAAAGTTAGGGCAGTGGAGTCTTAGCACTACACATATTGTTCATCTCTTGTGCATTATCGAAAACTACATTCCAGGCAATAAGGCGATGACCAGGAGGTACTTCATTGTTCTTCAAAACTAGCCGAGGAACATCAAGAAAACCTGTACAAGTGGAGAGAGGATCTCTCAAAAGGAGAGTTCTCTTCCTTGATACTTTTCTAGGAAACAGAGTTGGGCAGTCGATCAACCACATGACACTTGAAAACCAGGGTTCTGTTTTCCAACGGGCTGGCCGCTGGAGAAGATCGTTTCAGGAGCTTGGAGAAATTCTGAGGGGGTTTTAACCATTTATAGGTTGTCCATGGCTAATGACAGGCTATAGGTTAGTCACTTCCAGATGGGCCTCTACTGGGAGCTTTCCCACTCTTTTAATGGAAATAAGCCAACAAATTGGTGAATCAGCCTCATATTACTGGGAAACAATATAGATGAAGATATTCTTTCAGCATCATGCTAAATATACTATTTTATTTATTTTATTTTTATTTTTTTTGCAGCATAGGTTTTGACGAATATAATCAGACCTGATCTTGGTGCTGTTTATAAAGTTTTATGTTGCTTATGATGTGCAGGAAGAAGATGGCTGAGAATCTATGAGAGATGTCGTTGCGGCTTTAGGTTAACATAGTTCTGTAAACTAGTGGAGTTACACAGGCATTCTATGGGTATGCACAGCTGATTTTCCCAACTTAGTAACCTGAACCTGCATACCATTTCAACATGTTATATATGTAAAGAGTTGTTGGTTCTGTACCTCCAACGCATCATCTGTGAAAATCTTAGTCCATTTCTTTTCTTCCTCCTTTCTTTCTATTATATCATCTTTTTTTATCTGTGACTCTTCACGAGGATACACAGAAGCAGATTTGAGTGCCCAGTTTAGGATGCTATTTAAACACTGGACTATGATGCTTGAATATCAGGCTATTTAATCCTAAGTTATGGTGTCGATCAGACCAATTGACCTGATTGGGGTGAGACATTATTTATTAGGCTGCAGGGGAGAAGGGCAGTGCCTTTCCTGCTAGAAATAACCGAGAACATGAAATCTCCCCCACTTCTTAAACAGGGTATGAGTGAGCGCGCTTGATTGAGAGAACCATGCTGACAATCTGTTCATCTCAATGCTTACTTTCCCTCCTCCCCACCCAAAGTAGCTATTTATTTATCTCTCTCTGTGTGAGATCAGGTCTTACACGGGCCACAAGTGGCCCATTGATTAAAATAGAACAATATTGAAAAAATTCGTTGATTTGAATGCTTGCTTGCCCCAAAATAGCCACTTTTTTGGCATACAGGTATTGATAAGTGGGGCAAGCGCTTTAGTGAGAGAACCATGTTGAAAAATCTGCCAATTTACATGCCCCGCCCCCAAAAATAGGCACCCCCTGAAATGCAACCCCTCTGTCTTACATCAGGGTGTATGCAGGTTGAGTCTATTAATTGGGCATCTGTTTCAAAGAGAGTATATCAAGGACATGTCTACAGCTGGAAGACATTTCGGAGGGCATTTCTGGGTTGTGCTTGTTGAAGAAGTATCTAAGATGGCCGGACCCATCTCTCTCTGAGCTTAATTTCGACGCCAAATTTAGAAAGAAATCGGGCCGACGACAAGTTTCTTCGAGAATCTCATCCAAGCAGGCTCGAATGTTCTTAGGAAGTAGTTGAACGGTAGTGGAGGGGGCTTTCTGGGCTTTGCTGAAGCGTGTTCCCCCGTTCATCTCCCTCTCTGCCCTTAATCTTGACGCCAAATGTAGAAAGAATCCCATCAGACCAGGTTTCAATTTCTTTTTTTTCCCCCCATGAATCTGGCTCGGAATTCTCGAAGTCTTGACCGTGCCCAGTTTCAGGACCGCTGCCGGCAGATGAAAATTTCGGTCACATGTGTATAGATATATATAGATTATACTTCCTATTACATTTATATCATTATACTATGTTTAAAATGGGAGCATGATGCCCATGGATCAACCATGAGAGGTTACAACCTTGAGCGAGAGCGAGAGAGAGAGAGAATAATAAAATCGAGAAGCGATGCTGATATTTCCCAGGAAATAAGCTCGTTTGAAGCTAAGTTTTCCTTACGGATCATAGTGCTTAGTCTGCATTCCAAACATGGTTCCCAAGAACACTAGGCAACTATAAAACAAAATCCCACTTTTTCGATCAGTTCTTAGTCCCTGAAAACAACCAGTTGCTACTATTTACTCACCTGATTATATTATATTTGATAAATATTTTCACATTTTGCCACAACAGGAAGGGATCATTTAATCAGGTAATTCCTCTTAGAATCCTCCGATTCTTCGTAAAATCCTTCCTTTTTTGTCAAGAAAATGAAATAATACCTCACAAATATAATATAACCAGATGATTAAGTAAAAGACTTGAGCTGTTTCGAGACCCTGATAACCAACATAAAATAAAGGCAAGGATTTTATATATATAATGGTTGGATCCCCCCGCAGGGATCTGACACCAAATAAAAAACCTTCCTTTTATGTCGAAACACAAGAAGCTAATGAGATGGAGATGCCAAGTGGCTCTTCCTATTTTTAGACCAATCTACAGAAAGTGAAATAATTCATAAATATAATGTAAGTAGATGGTCAATTCATATAATTGGGTGGTATCAAGGGGCTGATAACGGAGAGAAACAGGAATGGAGGAACCTTCAAATAACTATTGGATTATGTAGTGATCCAAGACCACAGAAAAACCTTCCTTCTAAGCCAGAAACATGGTATCCACAAGAACATAATAGGATGGACGATTAGCTGGACATACCAGACGCAAATCTCTGAAGATTCCTGCAGATCGCCTCACCATTACACATCCAGATTCCTCTGAAAGACGGGAGATGAAGCTGTCGGTTAGCTGCCTGTAGAGAGAGACACAGGAAGCAGCTAACTCTCATGTGGTACAAGAACTTCTAATGAGAAACAGGCCTTGCCCAGTGCTCATCTGAGCCATCCATTCATTCGGAAAAAAATAGCCATGAAAGAAGACATTATTTTAAGCAAATGAAAGCCATTAATCCTCCCCAGATCAATAGTACAGAGCTAATTTTTGCCTCATTTGGGCTGATTTTACAGTGCCTCAAAGAGAGTAAGATAGGGATATTCACATAAGAAGAAGAATCGAGAAGGGAGAGATGGCAGGAAATTAATTTACGCCATAAAGGAAGTTATTTGCAATAAATTCGAGCCATGATACTCAAACATTATGAGAGAATCTGTCTGCCCACGAGTTATCTTCAAAAAAATAACAAAGTAGTGACAGGAAAATTGATGCCCACCAAGGGGAAGAGCATCTCTTCAGTTTTCCCAGCAATCTTTGCCTTTTAAGGATGTCTAGGGAATCTTTGAGGGCCTGGCTCTTCAGAGTTCTGCCGAGGTCCTCATTGCCAACTTAGGAGGGCACAAGGCTCTCTTCCTATTGATGAATACAAATGATATCACTTTGTCAACCAAGCAGAATCATGATGAATATGTAGAAACTCGAGCCCACATAGCAAGCAACTGGACATGAATCGGAGGATTGGCTACTCTTGGCCAACAGGACAGCAGAGCTTCTGATCGATCCACCCAGAAACCATGCAACCGGAAGGGAGTAGAGGAAGAAACTAAAGACAAATGGAGTGAAGTGGAGATATTATCCCCACTGAAATGCGAGCTAGAAAGGTTGTGGACAATCTACATGGCGGCATTAGATTAGAAGTAGCTGTTCTATTGAAAACTCTCACTATCCGGATTCCGGATTTAGATCTAGCATAAAGTGAGGAGCTCAAGAAATCTGAGATTGGCGAAAAATTCAGTCTGTTTTATGAGAAAATTTCAATTGAAAACTTTCATGGTTTAATCCTCATTCCATCAATAATAGTAACACAGTATGTTTACACTGCCACATCCTGTCGCCATTATCTGGATGCATTTGTCAACGAAGATCTGCATGATATCTATTTATCAAAAAAAAAAGTATCCCATATGATGCTACTATTGCGAGCTTAAGCCATCAAGTTCGAAATTTGGATCCCTCGAGTGTCGCGCATTCAGAATCATACGCTCCTCTGAAATTTCTCTAGATATCAAAATAGAAATCTCTCATGATGACACTGGAACTGGCCACTGACCGGAATGCCTCAGCGAGGGATTTCAAGAAAATGATTCAGAGTTGGAAATCACTGAGACGATGAGAGCAACAGAGATGCACAAAATGATGCTCACGTACTCAGCGGATGAGATCAAGGAAGGTCTTCCGCCTCGGGAACCTCGGCGGGAGCCTCAAGCACATCGCATCTTCCATCTTGATCGGCAAATGCGTCGCCACAAAGACAATCCCCCCCTTCTTCCGGTGCTCAGCGATGATGTGCTCCAGTAGTCGCACCCCCTCGTCGTCCAGCGCGACGGAAGGCTCGTCGAGGAGCCAGATCGGCCGATCGATGGCCAGAAGCCTCGCGAGCTGCACGCGCTTCCTCTGGCCCATGGAGAGCATCCGCGGCTTCTCGTTGGCGAGGCGGCCGAGTCCCATCAGCTCCAGAGCGGGCAGCGCCCTCCCCGACTTCCCCTCGAGGACCTCGAACCACGCCACATTCTCCAGGACGGTGAGCTTGTCCTTGATCGCGTCCTTGAGGGAAAGCCAGTTGAGCTGTAGGCGGTACTGCTGGTACACACCGGGGGAGGCGATGTCGTGGCCGTTCCAGAGGATCTCCCCGGCGGAGGGCCGCGAAAATCCGGCGAGCATGCGGAGGAAGGTGGTCTTCCCGGAGCCGTTGGCTCCGGTGAGGACGAGAGCGGCGCCGTCGTGGACGGAGACGTTTATGTCGCGGAGCACAGTCTGCGCGTTCCGCATGCAGGAGACGTTGTTCAGCAGGATGCGCGGCGGCGGCGGCCCCCGGAAGCGCATCCCGCCACAGACGGTGGAGGGATCTTGCTTACGGCGACAGTGCTCTTAGAGGCGGGAAACGGGCCGGTTCGCTTTTGAGCCCCCGGGTCTTCGACCCAGCCGGGCCCGGCCCGGACCGAGCCTCAAATAAATTGAGATTGGGAGAGGACTGATGCAACCAAGAACGACCAGAATACTGAAGCTGATCAAACCTCCTTCATAAGCTTATCACAAGGGCCGCCCATTATAACCTGAAGTCATTCAATCAAGTATTCTGAGTTTATATCTTGTGACGTCCTCTTTTCTCACTTCAATAGATTTAGACGGCACCTGATGGATTCAACAGTCTTTTTTTTGGGTCTTGTGGATTCAAAGTCTTCCTCCTCATGGATCCACAAGTTTCATGGATTCAGGGCTTTGTTTCTTTTGTAAAGTTCAAGTTTATGGATCCAGGTCTAGATCTTATCATCTTCCATGACATCTTTGTGTCAATTGGTATTAGAGTAAAGTTCCATATTTTAAATTTACTTTCAAAAGTGTTTTGAGATAAATTGATTCAAATCAATGATCATGACCATGATGATGATGTTATTGAGGTTTGTCGTGTCTCAAGATTAGACCTAATATTGAGTGCTAAGAATAAATAGATCAAAAATTTAGAGAGGTTAATGAGACGTTGAAGCAATGATTAGCATGAGTAATTGCATTAGAGAGTAAGTAATTCATTTCCTAAGAAAAATCTTGATTTTAGCTGCACTCGAAATGTAGCCTCCAAGGAAATGTAGCCTCAAAAGTGTTAGAAGTAGATATGAAGATGATGATTCTAGAGATTTTTGAGTGAAGATTGATTTGTCATGTTTTAACAATCATTCAAGAATCAAATAATTTTTAGATTTTGAAGTTGATAAATTTTTAGAATGTATGAAAAAAATTGAAGAAAATTGAGTAAAACTATTAACTTATAAATTGAAGGATAATACTTTTACCTAGTGTGAGCAATCTCAATCTATGTAGGCCATATTAGGAATGTAATTTGTCTGCATGTGGGAAAAAATAAAGAAACTCTTAAAATATTATTTTATATCACCAAATTAAGAACATATATTATATAAATAGTATCAAATTACAAGTAAGTAAATCAATTCAATTAGAGTATGCTAAATAGTGTAGTTTATTATCTTCACATATCAAATTAATAAAGTTAGAATCAATACATTATTTCAAGATTCAAAGGTAGTCTTAGACGAGACACCAAAGAAAGGTAATGGTTATAGAATGTGCACAGTTAATATTAGAAGAAATGAACAAGATCTTGAAATTATAGTACTGAGATTTTGATTATTTCATATGACAAATATACATCAATTGTTACATCTATTTTGACAACTAGATGAGGAACATGAGCTGTAACAAGACTAAATAAAAAAATATTGAGCTTCTAGTACTAAAATTCATTTCCCTAATAAGGAAAATAAGGGTACAATTCTAATAGTTGTATAGAATATGATTTCATAAATCTTGCGATTTCTATTAGAGATGACGGAAAAAATGAGGAGCCCAAAGTTCAACCTAAGTTAGAAGAGAATTCGTATTTGATGTTGGACACATGCCATCAAATTCATTAGTGGTAGGAAGGTTGATGTACACACAAGAAATAATAGGATCTACAATGTCATACATTTCCAGAACTAGGTGCACATTGAATAATAAGATATGTGATGATATTATTGATAGTTGTAGTGGTGAGAATATTACTTCCTTTGGTATGATTCAAAAATTAGGACTGACAACATAACTTCACATACATCCATATTATATTAGTTGAATTGAAAAATAGTTATCTGAAATATATTTGGTGAAATTTTCTATTGAGAAAACTTATTTTAGAGTACAATTTGATGTAGTTGAGATAGATGTATGTCACATCATTTTGGGTTGACCATGAGAGTTTAATGTTGATATCACACATCATGGAAAAGGTAATGTCTATTTATTCAACAAAAATAAGAAGATACTTGTGTTAGACCTAATGTAAGAGAGTGAGTTCAAGAAAGGAGAAACTAAGAAGAAAGTTAATATTAATTGATTGTGAATATTTCAATAATCTAAATCATATGTCTGAATTATTTGTAGTTGTTAAAAAGTTAGATTCATAATGTATAGTGGATAAAAATAATCTAGACTACATTTAAATAATTGTGTTTAAATTTTCTTTTGTGCAAGATACACCCAATTATTCACCTCCTATGTATGATATTCAACATTATATTAATTTTATTATAACAATACTTTTTGATAACCTACCACATTACATAGTGAGTCTAAAAGAAAAAAATTATAGAACAGCATATTGAAGAGTTACCCACGAAGGATTAATTATAAAAAATATGAGTTCATGCTTAGGTCTTGTTCTACTTAGTGCTAAAAAATGATGAAAGTTGAACTGATGTACATAGATAGTCAGGCCATCAACAAAATTATAAAAAATATGAACTCATGCGTAGGTCTTGTTCTATACTTGTTCTCTCAAGGTTCTCTCCCTTCCAATTTAGGTTCTCTCACAACTCTCACCCCTAGAGACATCAAAGCTTTCTATATTGGTTTATCCCTCACTTGACTAGTCCTAATCTTAGAAAATTCTATTTTCACTAGAAATATACATTACTTTTAATGAGATCAATAACCCAACCACACCAAATACCTTGCCCTTTACAAATACAACTAGGTTCCCAACACCATGTGATTTAGCCCAGGCACCTCTCCACTCAGTAGTCAAGTACTTTAAGGCTTGATGTAGAGCATTAGCTTTTGATGTGAATGTAGTTTTAAATCACAAATGTCAAATGAAAGATTGATGTATTAGTTATCTATTGATCCTCATGGTGGTTGAACTTTTGAGGAAAGGAGAAGGATATTTGTTGGAGTAATGTTGTATTCATTGGTTTTTCTTCTTCATAAGCTTTTTTCTTTTTATTGTTCAATGTTATCTAATCATTTGTAGTTTGAAAAATTATAATGTAGATTCAAAAAACTTCATGTTGCCTAGAATGCATCCTAATAACCTTTACATATTTCTTTCTTTAAAGTTTGTTATTCTCACATCTATTTTATTTGAAACTTTCTTACCAACAAACATCTTTGTTGTTGAGGTTGAGTCCAAATAAGCTCATTTAGCCTATCATTATCACCACATATTATGTTGATGTGTCGTCATCCAAAATGTGTGGCATTAACCTCTTCTCTTGCATGATTTTTTAAATATCTTGTCTTAGAAGCTTTTAATGTGTCATTGTACTTGATTTCTTACATATTTATTTACTAATACTTCTGACTTGTTGTCATTCTAATTCTAAGTTTGATACATAGTAGTCCTTTTATTACTTCATGCTTTTGAGATATTTCTTCATTGAGGTTTTTGATTTTTCATCATTGAAGTTCTAAGTGTGATACTTGTTTATGTCTTTATTACTTCATATTTTTCAGGTACTACTTTGCTAAGTCTTCCAACTTGTCATCATTCAGATTTTAAGTTCAAATCTTGTCAATGACTTTGATATTTTGATTTTTTTAGATATTTTATTATATATCTTTCATGTATTTATATATGAATTATGGAATGTTACATTAGTTCTAACATGTAAATATTTGAAGAAATAATTCATTAAGATTCAATTTTGTCAGCCATTCGATCACACAAACATCATTATTATACATGTTGAACAATTCTTGAAACTATTAAATTTTTGACACAAGTTCTCATAAATTCATTAACATTCAGTAAGTATTTAGTAAAAAATTCACTTGTAACATGAAAATCAAGGGCATCAAGAAGTAGTAAATAAAATACTTAAGTATCTAATTTAATATATTTCAAAGAAAACATCAAGATAGTAAAATTATGCCTTAGTTTAAGTAATATTTATTTATAATTCAATAATTCATCATTCAACTAATCAATCTCTATTTTTTATAATTTACTATCTCTCTTCAAATATTCTTTTAAATTTACTATGGTTTTCAAGATAAGTTAAAATAAGTTTTACTATAAATAATATGATAAATCACAACAAAACGATTTACAAAGGTTTCAAACAAAAGACTATCAACAAATTACAAAAATTGTAAAGCATCAACATACCAAACAAGAAGGAGCTACTTTAAGTCAAAGATCTCATCATGGTCTACATACAAAATCAATGATTTTAAATAGACACCAACAAATTAAAGCTAAAGAAAAATGATAATTCAAAATTTTATAAAAGATCAATGATAATGCATTTATCATTGGACTTCCGTATGGTATAGGTATATCTAATAAATTCAATGTGAGCAATATTTATGAGTACTTTGATGAACTAAATGAAGATATGAAGAGGAGTTATTTTTAAAGGGGAGAAACTAATGCAACCTAGTACGTCAATAATGTATAAGATGAGAAATCTAAAACACTTAGTATGTTGGCACGTAGAGGATAACCTAAAAGAGTGACCCAAAAACTTGTTATATCTAAATAAAGTACGAAAAGAGCAGCCAAGTTAAGTATAGACATGTAGACTCTATTTTCTTTTTTGTTAGCTTTATATTTTAATTTCTATTATAATAGCTTCTTTTTTATGTTTAGAATAGAAAATCTAATTATAAGAGCATCAAGAATGGAGAATGTTAGATACAACTCATTAGAAGGCTTAGTGCACTAGAGCCCATTAGAGGGCTTAGTGCATCTCTCTCTCTCTCTCTCTCCCTATCTATCTATCTATCTATCTATCTATAAATAGAGGCTTCTAACCTCTTTTTTAATTTACATAGATGGTTTTACTGTTCACATGGTATCAAAGGCTAAATTTTTCTATAAATAGGGGCTGCTGCTGCTGCCCCTTTGAGCTGCCGCCACCACCTGTTCAGGCTGCCACTACCACCCCTTCTGGTCACTGCTGTCACCCCTTCGGACTGTCATCACTGCCTCTTAGGGCTGCCATCGCCCCCTTCTCAGGGCCACTGCCCTAATCAGGCTCTTGCAACCA